GGTAGTCCCCCTTTTTTTCTTTTTTTTTTCATTTTTTTTGAAAAAAAAGCCCTTTTGCGCGTTTTCAGGAAAGGGTTAGTTTTTCCCGGGCCGGTTTTTGAAAACCCAAACCACCAAAATTGGCTTTAAAAAAATTTTTGTTTTCCAGATAATCAACTTTAGTCCAATAAAGTTTTAATTTATTCCTTTTTTAAATCAGCACAACATTTTCATTTTGGGCTAACAAAATTGCAAAAGGGTTTTCAATTATCATTACCCTTTTAAAATGAAAACTTGGATTAGCAAAAAGTGCCATTGGAACCAGGACTAGGGTTGCTGAAATGGGCCTCTGTACCCTATGTAGATTTTCCTAAAAAAATCGGCCTTTTTCATACAATACCATTTAAAAACTTACAAGTCTACACTGTATTTCGATCAATTTTGTTTATTTTAATGGCAAAAAAAATTGTTTTCTTTCAAAAACAGGACTTTAAATGACCCCAAACTTTTAAACATAGTGTATTTTTTAAAAAGTTTGTATCCCCAAAAAAAAGTGGCCAAAAAATTCTTAAATAACACATTAATCCCTTTTAAACGGTGTCGAGCCTAAACTGCCAACATATGCACCTGAGTTTCAGTTTGGGGAAGGGGGATTTCACCCTAAAAAGCACCCCTTTTAAAAAACATTAATGCATAACGCTTTGTCACTTTTTTGGGAAAGGGTTTTCCTGCTAATGGCACGTTCGCGCTTCTACCCTCTGCCGTGTGCCATTTCTGCCTTATAAGTGAAGAAAAAACCAATTTTAATCAAATTTTAACAAAGTTCTGATCTTTTGCGTCGGCTCATTGCTTAAATTTTTTTTTTAAAAGCAGTGGTTTATTGATTTGGGATTATCGCATCCCCAACTGCCCAGACTATGTTTTTGGGAAAATTTTTTGTCTCGCACAGAATAAAAGGGCAAAATTTTTACTATGGGGGGTAGTAGATTGACCTACCCCTCTCTTTTATTCTCCATCTCTAACCCCCTCTCTCTGACTGTCTCCATCTCTAACCCTCTCTCCCACTGTCTCCATCTAAAAACCCCCCCCTTTTTGACTGTCCCTCTCTAACCCCTCTCCCACTGTCTCCATCCTTTAAACCCCCTCTCCCCACTTCTCCCTTCAACCCTCTCTCCCACTTCTCCATTTTAACCCCCTCTCTCTGATGTCTCCATCTCTAAAACCCCCCTCCCACTGCCCCCATCTCAACCCCCTCTCGCCCCTCTAGTAAAAGGCTCTGCGCCTCCCTCTATGGCCCCGGGCCACCCATTTTATCTGGGCCTGGGGCCCAATCCCTTCCCACAAAACCCTCACTTAAACTTACAGTTGACGGAATCCCCGCCCCCCATGCCCGTAAAATAAAAAAAAAATAAAGAATATCTTGTTCCCAAAAACAACACTTCCCAGACAAAACCTCACCTAATAACACTGTGAAGATATTCTCCTGGGCCACAAACCTTTCAGAACTCAACATACTGTACATTTTAATTCTACAAGGTTCATATTTCTACGATCTCAAATTGGGCCCTTGTCCTTTCAGAGCTTAAAGTGGATCCCTACACATCTGCAAAATAAGATAAATTGCTCTGAAAAATAACTCAAAAGTAATGTAAATGAGGTTTTCCCTTGCACTCATTCATAACTTCCAACAAAAAGATTCAAAGAATCTTACCCTCTCTGGGCAACACGTAAAGGGGATGCCAGGTCCTGAGTTTGATGAAGGGTCCTCCCCAGTCCACTCCGCTCTGGCTAGCAGGGGTGTTTTTGGTACACACAAAGCCCGAACTAGCTTCTTATCCTCCTACACAAAAGACACACACAGGAAAAAAACAGCAACAGAGAGAGAGACAAGAGACAGCAGAGAGACAGCGAAAAGAAAAGACATACCAGAGGACAAGAGAAGAGAGAGAGAGAGAGGAAAAGAAGAGGAGAACGACAAGGACGGAAACCCCAGAACAAGACGAGAAAAACAGGAAGAACAAGAGAAGAAAAAGAGGGGGAGAGGGGGAAAAAGGGGGAGGAAAAGAGAAGAGAGAGGAAGGGGGAGAAGAAAAAAAAGGAAAAAGAAAAAATAAAGATAAAAGGAAAAAAAAAAATAAAAGGGAAAAAAGGGAAAAAAAAAAAAAAAAAAGCCCCCCTGCAAGGGGCAGTCAGGTACGATACAATCCCTTTTCCCAAACCCCTGCTATTGTGTGTGTGGGTGGCAGTTTTCAGGCCTTTAAAAGTGTTTTCCACCCCTTACCTTTTCCACATTTTGTTGGTTATTTAATTGTCATTTTTTGAAAGATCTAAAAACAAAAATACTCTTATGTCAAATTGAAAAAATTAAAAAACCTAAAAATATCTTGATTTTTAAATATCAACCCCCGAGTCAAGCATGTTTTGAACATTTTTTTGGGAGCGATTAAAGCTGGGGAGTTTTTTCTGGGGGAAATTTTGAAGAACTTTGCCCACCCCCGGATTGTAAACAATTTTCCCATATTCTTTTAAAAAAATTCTTCAAGCTCTGGTCAAATTGTTTGGTTGAAATTAAAAAAAAAAATTTTTTTTTCCGGTTTTTTTTGTTTTTAAAATTTCCCTTTCCCAAACCTTTTTAAAGGGGGGGGTTTTTAAAGGTTTTTTAAAAAAAAAAAACCCCCCTAGGGGGGGAACAAAAGGGGGTTTTCCCTTTTTTTCCCAAAAAAAAAAGGGGGGGGAAAGGGGGGAAAAAAAAAAACCCCCCCAAAAAAAAAAAAAAAAAGGGGGGGGGGAAAAAAAAAAAAAAAAGGGGGGGGCCAAACCCCAAAAAAGGGGAAAGGAAAAAACCCCAAAAAAAAAAAGGGGGGGGAAAAAAAAGGGGGGGGAAAGGGGAAAAAAAAAAAAAAAGGGGGGGGGGGGAAAAAAAAAAGGGGGGGAAAAAGGGGGAAAAAAAAAGGGGAAAGGGGGGGGGGGAAAAAAAAAAAAGGGGGGGGAAAAAAAAGGGGGGGGGAAAAAAGGGGGGCCCCAAAAAAGGGGGGGGGGGGGCCCCCCCCCCTTTTTTTTTTTTTAAAAAAGGGGAAAAATTTTTTTTTTTTTTTTTTTCCCCAAAAAAACCCCCCCTTCCCCCCTTTTTTTTTTTTTTTTTTTTCCCCCCCAAAAAAAATTTTTTTTTTTTTAAAAAAAAAAAAAATTTTACCCTTTTTTTTTAACCCCCGGTTTTAAATTTTTTTTTTTAAAAATTTTTTTTTTGGGGGGTTTTTTTTCCCCCCCCCAAAAAAAATTTTTTTTTTAAAAATTTTTTCCCTTTAAAAATTTTTTTTGTAAAATTTTTTTTTTTTTTTTCCCAAAAATTTTTGGTTTTTTCCCCCTTTTTTTTTTCCCCAAAAATTTAATTTTTTTTTTAAAACCCAAAAAAAAATTTTTTTTTTCCCCCGGGGGAAAAAAGTTTTTTGGAAAAAAGGGAACCGGGCCCCCCCCCAAAAATTTTGGTTTTTTTAAAAAATTTTTTTTTCCCAAAAAACCCCAAAAAATTTTGGGGTTTTTTCTTTTTTTAAATTAAACCAAAGGGTTGTTTTTTTTTTTTAAAAAATTTTTTTCCCCCTTTTTTTTATTTGGGCCAAATTGGGGCCTTTTTTTTTTTTTCCCCTTTTTTTTTTTTTTTTTTTTTTTTTTTTTCCCTTAAATTTTTCAACCCCCCAAACCCCTTGGGGGGGCCCCCCCTTCCCCCCTTTTTTTGGGGGAAAATTTTTTTTTTTGGGGGGTTTCCTACACCATCCAATATTCAATGTCTGCTTTTTTTCAATGTCTACCAATAGGTGCCCTTCTTTGCGAGGCATTGGAAAACCTCCCTGTTTTTTGTGGTTGAATCTGTGTTTGAAATTCACAACTTGACTGAGGGACCTTACAGATAATTGTATGTGTGGGGTACAGAGATGAGGTAGTCATAAAAAAATTATGTTATACACTATTATTGCAAACAGAGTCCATGCAACTTATTATGTGACTTGTTAAGCAAATTCTTACTCCTGAACTTATTTAGGCTTACCATAACTGAAGACATTTCAGAGTGTGTGTTTCTTACCAGGTAGCTGAGAGCGCTGGCCAGTTGTTTGGCCACCTGGAACTTCCATGGTGTACTGAGAGGACTGTGTTGTCTCCGCATGAACAGATCCAATGGACCTAACTGGACAAACTCCTCCACCATGATATCTGGGAGAGAGAGAGAGACATGGATAGCAGTGGAGGCTGCGGAGAGAAGGACGGCTCATCATAATGGCTGGAACGGAGCGAATGAAATGGCATCAAACGCATGGAAACCATGTGTGTATTTGATACCATTCCACCCATTCCGCTCCAGCCATTACCACAAGCCCAGTTAAGGTGCCACCAACCTCCTGTGCTAGATAGTCAATACACATGTACACACACACTTCGAGGCAAGCAACACTAAACCATGCATGAGAGCACCAGCTGTTCTGGACGACTGTGTGGTCTCGCTCTCCGTACCCGATGTGAGTAAGACCTTTAAACATTCTCAAGGCCGCGGGGCCAGACAGAAAACCAGGACGCGTACTCAGAGCATGCGCTGACCAGCTGGCAAGTGTCTTCACTGACATTTTCAACCTATCCCTGACCCAGTCTGTAATACCAACTTGTTTCAAGCAGACCACCATAGTCCCTGTACTCAAGAACGCCAAAGTAACCTGCCTAAATGACCATTTCCCTGTATCACTCACATCTATAGCCATGAAACACCATCATCCCAGACACCCTGGACAAACTCCAATTTGCATACCACCCCAACAGATCCACAGATGACGCAATCTCTATTGCACTCCACACTGCCCTCACCCACCTGAACAAAGGGAATACAGTACATTCGGAAAGTATTCAGACCCCTTGACTTTTTCCACATTTTGCTACATTACAGCCTTATTCTAAAATGGATTAACAGTTTTTTTCTCCTTATCAATCTACACACAATACCCCATGATGACAAAGCAAAAACTGGTTTTATTTTTTGTGTGCAAATATATATTTAAAAAAAACTTTAATATCACATTACATAAGTATTCAGACCATTTACTCAGTACTTTGTTGAAGCACCTTTGGCAGCGATTACAGCTGTGAGTCTTCTTGGATATGATGCTTCAAGCTTGGCACACCTGTATTTGGGGAGTTTCTCCCATTCGTCTCTGCAGATCCTCTCAAGCTATTTTCAGATCTCTCCAGAGATGTTAGATCGGGTTCAAGACCGGGACCTGGCTGGGCCACTCAAGGACATTCAGAGACTTGTCCCGAAGTCACTCCTGCGTTGTCTTGGCTGTGTGCTTAGGGTCGTTGTCCTGTTGGAAGGTGAACCGTCGCCCCAGTCTGAGGTCCTGAGTGCTCTGGAGCAGGTTTTCATAAAGGATCTCTCTGTACTTTGCTCCGTTCATCTTACCCTCGACCCTGAATAGTCTCCCAGTCCCTGCAGCTGAAAAACATTCCCACAGCATGATGCTGCCACCACCGTGCTTCACTGTAGGGATGGTGCCAGGTTTCCTCCAGACGTGACGCTTGGCATTCAGGCCAAAGAGTTCAATCTTGGTTTCATCAGACCAGAGAATCTTGTTTCTCATGGTCTGAGAGTCCTTTAGGTGCCTTTTGGCAAACTCCAAGCGGGCTGTCATGTGCCTTTTACTGAGGAGTGGCTTCTGTCTGGCCACTCTACCATAAAGGAGTGCTGCAGACATGGCTGTCCTTCTGGAAGTTTCTCCCATCTCCACAGAGGAACTTTTGGTCACCTTCCTGACCAAGGCCCTTCTCTCCGGATTGCTCAGTTTTGCTGGGCGGCCAGCTCTAGGAAGTCTTGGTGGTTCCAAACTTCTTCCATTTAAGAATGATGGAGGCCACTGTGTTCTTGGGGACCTTCAATGCTGCAGACATTTTTTGGTACCCTTCCCCAGATCTGTGCCTTGACACAATCCTGTCTCAGAGCTCTACGGACAATTCCTTCAACCTCATGGCTTGGTTTTTGCTCTGACATGCACCGTCAACTGTGGGACCTTATATAGACAGGTGTATGCCTTTCCAAATCATGTCCAATCAATTGAATGTAGGATGATCAAGGGAAACAGGATGCACCTGAGCTCAATGTTGAGTCTCATAGCAAAGGGTCTGAATACTTATGTAAATAAGGTATTTCTGTTTTTTATTTAATATATTTGCAAAAATGACTAAAAACCTGTTTTCCGCTTTGTCATTATGGAGTATTGTGTGTAGATTGATGAGGAAAAACATTTATTTAATCAATTTTAGAATAAGGCTGTAACGTAACAAAATGTGGAAAAAGTGAAGGGGTCTGAATACTTTCTGAATGTACTGTACCTACAGTATGTATGAATGCTGTTAATTGACTACAGCTCAGCATTCAACACCATACTGCTCTCAGGACCCTGGGACTGAACACCTCCCTCTGCAAATGGATCCTGGACTTCCTGACGGGCCACCCCCAGGCAGTTAGGGTAGGTAATAACACATCCACCATGTTGACCATCAACACAGGGGCCCCTCAGGGGTGTGTGCTTAGTCCCTTCCCGTACTCCCTGTTCACGCACGACTTCAAGGCCACGCACGCCTCCAACACCTTTATCAAGTTTGCTGACGACACGGCGGTGGTAGGACTCATCACTGACAACGATGAGGCAGCCTAAAAATATACAGCTGCACCATTGAGAGCATCTTGACTGGTTGCATCACCGCTTGGTACGGCAACTGCAAGGCACCCGAACGCAAGGCGCTACAGAGAGTGGTGAGTACAGCCCAGTACATCACTGGGGCCGAGCTCCCTGCCATCCAGGACATCTCTATCAGTCGGTGTCATAGGAAGGCCCAAAAAATTGTCAAAGACTCCAGCCACTCAAGCCATACTGTTCTCTCTGCTACCGCATGGCAAGCGTTACCAATGCACCAGTCTGGAACCAACAGGACCCTGAACAGCTTCTACCCCCAAGCCCTAAGACTGCTAAACCAGACTGCTAAATAGTTAATCAAATGGCTACCTGCATTGACCCTTTTTTGCACTAACTCTCTTGCACTGACTCTATGCACACAAACTGGACTCTACCCAGACACTCACACATACATACACTGACACCCCAACAAACACACACACACACACTACATACGCCCACACACACATAACATGTGCACACATGCATAGACTGATCATGTCTTTGTCAGTGGGCAAACGTACAAAATCAGCAGGTGATCAAATACTTTTTTCCCTCACTGTAGCTGAATCTCAAACCCAACGCTTGGCCCATAAGTCCTTTATCGAGTGCTCGAGGTGCTCGAGGTGGTCGGTTTGAGATTCAGCCTATGTCAACGTACTATTCAATACTGAGTCAACAGCTCATGGGGAATTCATTATTTGCAAATAATGGCAAGTCCTATCATATCTCCTGATCTGCTACTGAAATACTGTAGTATATGTCCTGTATGAACACTGCTTACACTAATCAATGAAGAGAAGTTTAGAGGGGTCATGTAGGATACTGTGTGTGTGTGTGTGTTGTGTGTGTGTGTGTGTGTGTGGGGTGTGGCGTGTGTGTGTGTGGTGGTGTATGCGTGTGTGGTGTGTGTGTGTGTGTGGTGTGTGTCGAGCGTGTGAGTGTGTGTGTGTGTGTGTGTATGGTGTGTGTGTGGTGTGTGTGTGTGTGTGTGTGTGTGTGTGTGTGTGTGTGTGCGTGTGCGTGCGTACACTCACTCTCAAGGTGGCGTACACAGACTCCATAGAGCAGGGCGATGTGCTTATGGGAGACCTGCCGCATCATACTGGCTGTCTCAAAGAAGGCCTGGGGAGAGACAGAGAAAAATAGAGGGACAGGAGAGAATGATGTCCTGAGAGAGCAAAAAAAAGGAGAGGTAGAGAGAGAGAGTAGCAGATTGACGCAGACGCATTGACTCCCGATGATTGACGATGAGATTGATGAGAGATGAGAGAGATGGAGTGAAGCGTTGGTAGAGAGGAGATTGAGAGAGAGGAGGAAAGAGGGAAGAAAAGGAGAGAGAGAGAGAGAGAGAGAGAGAGAGAGAGAGCGAGAGACATAGGTAGAGACAGGAGAGAGAGAGAGAGAGCGAGAGACATAAGAAGAGACAGGAGAGAGAGAGAAAAGAGAGGGAGAGAGAGGGGGAGAGAGAGTCAGAGTTAGCTAATATGGAACGTGGCAAAATACTGACACAGTCTAATAAAAAGCATGAGCTAGAGCACACCCAGAGAACATCACTTAGTGTAGAGGTGCTGACTAACGACAAGTAAACTGTAAGCTATAAAAACAAATAAAGAGAGTCCACACTCCATATATAAACTCCCAGTCCTTTATTGGGTAAAACACCAACGTTTCGGCATCACTGTGCCTTCTTCACTCTTCTTGAGGGAGTCCTTAAAAGAATCCCATGATGTAGATAGTGTAAGTGTGTCTTACCAGGGAGATGTCTCTGTGTCCAGACCCCAACACCTTCAGAACTACTTTGAGCTCCTGAGAGGAATAGTATCCTGCATCCTCCTCACTCTTCACCTTCAGTACTCCAGCATAGATGTTGGTCCGGGTACCCAGACCCAGGTGCTCTCCCTGATAGAGACAGGAGGAACAGATACACACATCATAAATACACACTGGTGACAAGCACCAGTAAGAAAACACTAGAAAGTGTTTTAGAAAAGTAAAGATTGTGGCTTGAAAAGAAAAGATTGACAAAGTCTCTTTCAGCCGATGGATGGATGGATGTGACTGAGAGGTACTGGAAGGGTACTGTTTGTGTGTGTAGCAGTGTGTGTAGCAGAGTGTGTGTTTGTGTAGAGTGTGTGTGTAGAGTTTGTGTAGCAGTGTGTGTAGCAGAATGTGTGTAGCAGTGTGTGTAGCAGTGTGTAGCAGTGTGTGTGTGTGTAGAGTGTGTGTAGAGTGTGTGTGGAGTGTGTGTAGAGTGTGTGTAGAGTGTGTGTAGAGTGTGTGTGTGTAGAGTGTATGTAGCAGTGTGTGTAGCAGTGTGTGTAGTGTGTGTAGAGTGTGTGTAGAGTGTGTGTAGAGTGTGTGTGTGTAGAGTGTATGTAGCAGTGTGTGTAGCAGTGTGTGTAGTGTGTGTAGAGTGTGTGTAGCAGTGTGTGTAGAGTGTATGTAGAGTGTGTGTAGAGTATGTGTAGCAGTGTGTGTGTGTGGAGTGTGTGTAGAGTGTGTGTAGAGTGTGTGTGTGTAGAGTGTATGTAGCAGTGTGTGTAGCAGTGTGTGTAGTGTGTGTAGAGTGTGTGTAGCAGTGTGTGTAGAGTGTGTGTAGCAGTGTGTGTAGAGTGTATGTAGAGTGTGTGTAGATTATGTGTAGCAGTGTGTGTGTGTGGAGTGTGTGTAGCAGTGTGTGTAGTGTGTGTAGAGTGTGTGTAGCAGTGTGTGTAGAGTGTGTGTAGTGTGTGTAGCAGTGTGTGTAGCAGTGTGTGTAGCAGTGTGTGTAGCAGTGTGTGTAGCAGTGTGTGTAGAGTGTGTGTAGAGTGTGTGTAGAAGTGTGTGTAGAGTGTGTGTAGCAGTGTGTGTAGCAGTGTGTGTAGAGTGTGTGTAGAGTGTGTGTAGCAGTGTGTGTAGCAGTGTGTGTAGAGTATGTGTGATACTGCACCTGTATGATCTCCTCCTTGAGGATCCTGTGGAAGCTGAGTTGACTCTCCTGCAGGGGTGTCTGGGGGATCAGCACTCTGTCCTTAGTTACCACCAGCAGGTTGGACACCTCTGAAACACACACACATACATCCCATATTAGCCAGTGCAACACACACACACACACATACATCCCATATTAGCCAGTGCAACACACACACACACACACACACTCCACATTAGCCAGTGCAACACACACCAGGGTTACATTCATCAGGGCATGCAACAACATGAAAAACATTTTCAATGCCCAGTGCAGTCCAAAACGATTTTCCTGTGTTTTATATATATTTCCACACTATGAGGTTGTAAAAATACTGTGAAATTGTGAAAATTAGGATAATACCCTTTTAAGAGCTGTTTGAAAAGACCTCCTGAAATGTCTGTTTTGGTGGGATGGAGTTTTGGCCTTCCATGGTGACATTGCCGTGTGGTAAATGAGTTAAAGGGAAAACATTTTCAACTTTGTCACGGTTTCGGCCGAGGCTGCCTCTCTTCCTTGCTCGGGCAGGCTTCGGCGGTCGTCGTCTCCGGAGTACTAGCTGCCACCGTTGTATGTTTCGATGTTCGTTTGGTTTTGTCTTGATGTTGTACACCTGTTATCGTTTAGCGTTCATTATTGTCCTATAAGTTCTCGTTGTGTTTGTCATGTGTTGTGTGTGATTGAACTTGCTGTCGTGTATGTCTGTGCTTCGTTCTCTCCTCTGTGTTGGAGAGGTTCTCGCACGTGTTTGTGCGTTTTTGTTATTTTGTTTGATTTTACGCCTGTGTGCGTAATCGCTCGTATCCAAGCTCTTTTGACTCGTTTTGAGTTTTGGTTCACTAAAGTCTATTGGACTAAGTTCCTGCGTCCTGCGCTTGATTCCTGCACCACACCTTCACAGCACACCTTCTGACAAACTTCATATTCATCATCTCCAGAACCAACCCAACATCAACATACTTTTGTATATATAGTGTATAGTGTATGTGGACACCCCTTCAAATTAGTGGATTTGGCTATTTCAGCCACACCCGTTGCTGACAGGTATATAAAATCGAGCACACAGCCATGCAATCTCCATAGACAAACATTGGCAGTAGAATGGCCTTACTGAAGAGCTCAGTGACTTTCAACGTGGCACCGTCACAGGATGCCACCTTTCCAACAAGTCAGTTCGACACATTTCTGCCCTGCTAGAGCTGCCCCTGTCAACTGTAAGTGCTGTTATTGTGAAGTGGAAATGTCTAGGAACAACAACGGCTCAGCCGTGAAGTAGTAAGCCACACAAGCTCACAGAACGGGACCGCCGAGTGCTGAAGTGCATAGCGCGTAAAAATCGTCTGTCCTCGGTTGCAACACTCAGTACCGAGTTCCAGTCAGGGCTCTGTGCAGACCAGTCATGTTGATTTTGGAATGAGATGTTCAGCAGGTGTCCACATACTTTTGGTCATGTAGTGTATGTGAAAATGGTGCGTTTCTATGTTTTGTAGTAAAAAAAGATAGAGGAAGTGTTTCCAATGACATCATCGGTGTGCATCATGTGATTTTAACAAATTATGAGGAGGCATTGCCTACCAATTGTCTACTAATTGCTTAATGATGTCATTGGAAACACTTATCTTCCTCTATCTTTTTTTTCTACAAAACATAGAAATGCGCCATTACACATATGTTGATGTTGGGGTGGTGCTAGAGATAATGAATATGTAGTTGAAAAAAATAGAAATGTCCCTTTAGTTAATAGATCAATAACAAAGAGAGTTCCAAACCGCTCTGCCAACAACAGTAAATGTTCAGTTTTCCCCTCCCCATTCAGACCACTCCCAGACAGTCCTAGCAAAATTCTTGCCTGAGAAATTGCTATTTGCTAAGAAGCTATTTTTTGTGTCTTTTTTTTTTAAACAATCACAATAAGGTACTTAATTTTTGGAGATAAAAACAACTGCATTGAACCTTTAAAAGTTTTCAGTTTTGGTGCCTAATGAACACCACCCAGGCTTCTGCAACACAGACACCAGTCTCCCTATCAGTTGGTAAAGAATGAACAAAGGGGGGGGGCTGGTGTTCGGCTTGAAAACAACAAGTGTGTCTGCTTGCGTAAGCATAAATGTATGTGAGTAGTACAGATGAGTATATGCACGTAGGTGCGTGTGTGGAGTTTGAACGCCCCCGCAGGTGTGGCTGGGTGGAGAGGAGGAAGTGATGTTCTGACAATAACAACTCTCTGTGGTTGTCAACACACACACATATGTTTGTTTTACTATCCTTGTGGGGACCAAACAATTGATTCCCATTCAAAATCCTATTTTCCCTAACCCCAACTTTAACCCTAACCCTAACCCTAACCCCAAACCCTAACCTAACTCCTAACCCCAATTCTAACCCTAACCCTAGCCGCTAAGCCTAAAATTGCCTTTTTCCTTGTGGGGACCGGCGAAATGTCAGCACTTGTGTGAATATTCCTTGTTTTACCATCCTTGTGAGGACTTCTGGTCCCCATAAGGATAGTAAAACCGAAAATGTGAACAGACGCACACACACAACAACATAAAAACTAGGGGTGTAACAGTTCTCCTAACAGTTCACAAAATCACAGTACAGTACGTATTGCGGTTTTGGGGTCAGGGTTCGGTTCGGTACAGTGGGAAAATGAATTGTAATTTACAATGTTCAGCATTCTCAATGTTCCTTGCATTGTCTGTTCTGACTGGATTGTTATGTTGGGCCTCTCAAGTTTCCACTCTGATGCTGCGTTTATAACCATGTGGGAGGTGGGAATGTACCAGTTGTGAAGTCGTAAATACCAGTTGGATTCATTCATGTGATTTGAACTCGTTGAGAAACGTTGATTGACTAATGGCCATCAAGCTGTGTCAACCATAAATTAAAAGTACAACTATTATGCTTGTAAACAAGTTCAAAACCACATTAATAGATTGCCAAGAAAAAGCTACACTCAGGAATTAAGGCAGCCAAACAGAGGTACAAACTCAGGCTAGAGCAGCAGTTCTCCAGCAACGACTGCTCGTCTGTCTGGAAAGGACTAAAACAAATGACCAACTACAAACTAAAAGCTCCCCCGACGGCAAACGACCCCTCACTGCCAAATAAACTAAACCAGTTTTACTGCAGATTTGACTCACAAAGGCCCCTCAACTTCGGCTTTGGTTTGCTTAAGGCCTCTACACTGTTTATGTGCCTAGATCTACGCAGGTGCATGTTTATAGGTGTATTCATTCGGGTTCACAGTGCAGACCGAACCGAGGTCCCCGTACCGAACACCCCTACCATTACACCCCTAATAAAAACACACGCTTCCACCTCCCACACCTGTCTGCTGTAAACAGAGGAGAGCTGTGCTGTGGAAACCACAGTATTACTCCGTCTTCCTTCTCCTGACGCACACACACACACACACACACACACACACACACACACACACACACACACAGAGAGAGAGAGAGGATAAACAGGACAGGGTGCTCACAGACACACAGTACATGCACGCACACAGACACACAGTACATGCACGCACACAGACACATACAATTGCAAAAACACCCACACATAGATACTGTCCCTCCTTCCCTCCATCTTACACCCACACACACGCACCCACGCACTGTAAAACAATGAAAACATTTGACAAGTTTATAACCTAAACAAACCAAAAAAACGGCATTTACAATGCAAGATTAAACATGTTAGTCAGCTTTTTTCTTTCAGTTTCCAACCAGGAGAACAGCTATATCTCCTAAGTGTTCAGATTTTGTCACGCTCTGGCTCCGGGACTTTGTATTTTGAGCCAGGGTGTGTTCGTTTTGGTTGTGTTTTGTTTGGTTGGTTTGTCATTGGTTGTGTTTGGTCAAATGACTCCCAATCGGAGGTAACGAGTGTCAGCTGTCGGCTCGTTATCTCTGATTGGGAGCCATATTTAAACTGTGTGTTTTCACCTTGTGTTTGTGGGTTTTTGTTCTATGTTCAGTCGTTGTCACTGAGGACTTCATGATCGTGTTTTGTTTTGTATTCTCGTGTATTTCATTAAAGTCAATATGTTCGCTACCAACGCTGCGCTTTGGTCCTACTTCATAGACGGTCGTGACAGAAAAACCCACCACAACGAGACCAAGCAGCGTTTCCAGGAGTTGGATGACGAGTGGTGGAGACAGAAGAGCGAAGGTTGGGAGAGGACTATAGAGGCCTGGTCCACGGGGAGGAGAGAACCCCAGAAAATTTTTAGGGGGGGGCTCACGACATCGGGGCAGCAGGAGGCCGCTATGGAGCGGTCCAGCGGGGTCGCAGAGGAGGCCGCCAGGTTACGGGGGCCACTGGTAGAAGAGGGGATGGAAGGCGTAGAGGCACGGCGAGAGGTACTGGCGGGTGTTGCCAGTCCGGTCCGGCCCGTTCCAGATCCCGGTGTAGAGCCAGTGGTGTGTGTCCCCAGTACGGTCCGGTCTATTCCTGCTCCCCGCTCCAAACCTACGGTGTGCGTCGACAGCCCAGCCCGGCCCGTTCCTGCGCTCCGCACCGAGTCTGTGGTGCGCGTCGCCAGCCCAGCCCGGCCTGTTCCTGCTCCTCGCACTAAGCCTACGGTGTGCGTCGCCAGCCCAGCCCGGCCTGTTCCTGTTCCACGCGCAAAGCCTACGGTGTGCGTCGCCAGCCCAGCCCGGCCTGTTCCTGTTCCACGCGCAAAGCCTACGGTGTGCGTCGCCAGGCCGACCCGGCCTGTTCCTGCCACTCGCACCAAACCTACGGTGCGAGTCGTCAGCCTGGTTCAGCCCGTTCCTGCTACTCGCACCAAACCAGGGATGTGAGTCGTCAGCCTGGTCCAGCCCGTTCCTGCTACTCGCACCAAGCCAAGGGTGCGAGTCGTCAGCCGGGTTCAGCTCGTCCCTGCTACTCGCACCAAGCCAAGGGTGCGAGCCGTCAGCCTGATCCAGCCCATTCCTGCTACTCGCACCAAGCCAGGGATGCGAGTCGTCAGCTTGGTGAGGCCCGTTCCGGCTCCACGCATCAAGCCTAGGGTGCGTATCGTCAGCCAGGTCCGGTCCGTTCCTGCCTCACGCGCCAAGCCAGGGGTGCGCGTCGTCAGTCCAGATCCTACCAGCTGGGTCAGATCGGACCGGGGGCGCTACGGGGGGATTGAAGAAGGGTGGGGGTCAAGCCCGGAACCGGAGCCGCCTCCGAGGAGTAATGCCCACCCAGCCCTCCCCTGTTTTGGGGTTTTGAGGCGCGGTCGCAGTCCGCGCCTTTAGGGGGGGGTACTGTCACGCTCTGGCTCCGGGACTTTGTATTTTGAGCCAGGGTGTGTTCGTTTTGGTTGTGTTTTGTTTGGTTGGTTTGTCATTGGTTGTGTTTGGTCAAATGACTCCCAATCGGAGGTAACGAGTGTCAGCTGTCGGCTCGTTATCTCTGATTGGGAGCCATATTTAAACTGTGTGTTTTCACCTTGTGTTTGTGGGTTTTTGTTCTATGTTCAGTCGTTGTCACTGAGGACTTCATGATCGTGTTTTGTTTTGTATTCTCGTGTATTTCATTAAAGTCAATATGTTCGCTACCAACGCTGCGCTTTGGTCCTACTTCATAGACGGTCGTGACAGATTTTCCTTTCCTATCGTCTTGTTTAAAGTGCATTTAGTCATTCGATATTGATGTGACTTTCCATGCCTTTTATTCAGATCAGTGTTAGGAATGTCTGTCAGCTTACCTACATTTCAGCACAACTAAACAGGACATTTGATTCAATAAATCTTTTAAATGTTTGTTACTCAACTGTGTTGAGTTCATTTCTGTTAACATATTTCCCAACATGCTTTGTTGGAGGTTGATTTTTTTTTTTTTTACAATAGTTTGTTTTAATATCTATGTTTCCTCATGCACATTGATTAATTAATTGATCTTATACTACACAAAGATAAATCAATTAAATTTTTCTAAACTAATACAGTCTGTAAGGGGTTGGATTTATTGCACCCGTTACTGAGATAGTTTTTCCAGTTTAGGTAGTCTTGTTTGTCAAGTCCTTCATCATAGCAGTCCTTCTGAGTGCAGGTTGTGGGTGATAAAATACTATCTGGCTGGATTCCGATAGGAATTACTAATCACTTCACAAACCAGCGTATTGTGACTTGCAGGTCTGATGTCGCCCATGAGCCAGGATTTTCAGACCACAATGTCGAGAATAACTAGGCCATAACTAAAGGCCTTATGACATGTATAATATGTGGTCATAAAGGGTTTAATATAAATTGAAACACATTCCCTTAGGCAGTCACTTGGTGAAAGCTTGAGGAATATAAGTTATTGAATGCAACAACCATGTCTGTCACTAACAAACACAGTCATGGGTGGTTATCACTCACATTCACTCAAAAGGCATGCTGGGAAATATGCAAATACAGCTTTACACCCTACAGTGTTAAAACAACACCCCCAGTGTTAGTGTTTAAAACCTAAACGCCTTGTGCTGAATAAATGTGCCCATGTGTTTAAAAAGTGTTACAGCGAATAAACATGTTCTGGTGTTTACAATCGTAACACTGTGACGCGTTTTCATTGAAATTCTAAATGCCTTAACGCGTTTAAAAAGTGTTACAGGAAAGTGTTTAGTTATGTGTTCAGATCCTAAACACTTGGTTTTACAGTGTACACATACAATTGCAAAAACACATAGCCACATCCACACACGGATGCACACAGCTACAAACAGAGCTGAGGTACTGAGAGGGTTAAGCGAGTGGTTACCATGGTGAGGCAGTGTCGCTAAGAGAAACTAGAACTCATCGTGTAAACAGGCTTTAAAAGGAACATCCTTTCAGCTGACCAGAGCCAAATCACACTGAGGGTTTAAGCCAATGTGTGTGATTGTGTGTGTTTGACATGTATACAAAGGGCAGCGTGACATTCTGAGGGGCTGAAATAAAAATACTAAAAGCTGAAGTGAGACTTTCATACTGACCAATAGTATGAGACACAGTGTACGTGCAGGTGTGTGTACGTGTGTGTGTGTGTGTATGTGGGTGTGTGTGTTTGTGTGTGTACTGTATGTGTGTGTCTCTCTCCCCCTACCTCTGGGCTGTGGGGGGCAGCAGCGGCTGAGCTGGAAGCGGAGGTTATCCGTACGGAGGTTCTGTCCAGACAGGTGTTCTAGCAGCTCTCTGAGAGATGACCTGTAGGTCTCTGTCCCGTAGAGACGGAAACCCTCTGAACCCACCTCGATCTGGAAGTTCTTATACTGACGCACCTGTCTCGACTCACACAGATCCAACTGAAGACAGAGAGGGGGATGGAGGGATGGAGATAGGGGAAGAGGGAGAGGGGGGAGAGACATAAGGAGAGGCGAGTGGTCAGATTGAAGGCATCAAAAGAAAGGAGAAGAAAATTTGAGGGAGAGAGGGAGTGAAAGAGGGAAATATGTTAGAACAACCACACAAGAGTTCAGCTGGTAGTGAAAGAGGGAAATATGTTAGAACAACCACACAAGAGTTCAGCTGGTACTGAATTCATTTCATTGAGAATGGATGCCCCAAACAAGAACACACTCACATACTCTGTTTCTCTCTCTCATACACACACACACACACACACACACACACACACACACACACACACACACACACACACACACACTGCGAGCCCATGTTTGACCATGTCTCATGCATGCATATGAGGCTGCTCATTCAGTGTTACTAATGGAGTTCATCTCACCTTACCATGGTACTGTAATGTGATACATACACCAGACCAGACCACCAGGTTACGCTCAAAATGTACTCTGATCTGGTGTGTCACCTGGTATGTGCTTGTTTTGACAGTAACCACACATTGTCTGAAAAGGACTTCCTTATTGCTCTTATATCATCATTATTGTTCTCAGTACTCTTTATCAGATAAAAACGAAACAGTCAAACAATGAGTGTGTGTGTGTGTCATGTTTTGGTATCATCTGAGTTATAACTGTTCATAAGACAGCTCCTAGTCACTTCCTTGTGTGATGATCTGTGAACTCTGAACTTTGGCGTTTTATCGAACTTCTCCACTTGTTCCACGTCGCCCACTTCAGTAATTTCCACCCCACTCTCCCTGCCTGCAAAAATACATTGTTTGTGTTCTTAGTAGGGCTGTGTCGATACCAGTATCGCAATATTTTTTCCATGGCAACAAATGAAAACACGAAACAGACCATACACTTTGGTCCTTTAAGAACCTGCTGTTAGTAAAATATTGTGTGCTATAACTTGGAAAATAAATAAATGTGACTATGGATGACAACATAATGATGTTTGTTTGCAACATTAGAGCCATTTTCCTAAAGAAGTTAAATCCACATCGTTTTATATTTCCTTGCCACAATACTAACGAGTATTGTGATACTGGTATCGTCCCAGCCCTAGTTTTCAGAGTGTGTATTTGTGTGTGTGTGTGTGTGTGTGTGTTACCTCGCTGCAGACCACGGTCATGATGATGTAATGGTAGTCAGTACAGGACCAGCGCAGGACGTAGGTTCCCTCCTCGTTGCCCTCCTGACGAAGCTTCTGGATGGCATACTCCGTACTGTAGGAGGGACAAACAGAACCAACAGTCAAAAACACTAAACTCAACACTAGATTAAGAGAAATGAAACAGATAGAGAAAGGTAGAAGGACAAGAAGAAAGGTAGTAGAGAGATAGAAGATAAAGATGGGAATGAAGAGAGAAAACAAAAGCCAGAAAGAGATAGACAGAGAAAGACAGACAGAAACAGAGACAGGGAGAGAGACAGAGACAGAGAGAGAGAGAGACAGAGAGAGAGAGAGACAGAGACAGAGACAGAGAGACAGCAGAGAGACAGAGAGAGAGAGAGAGAGAGAGAGAGAGAGAGAGAGAGAGAGAGAGACCGAGAGAGAGACAGAGACAGAGACAGAGAGAGACAGAGACAGAGACAGAGAGACAGAGAGACAGAGAGAGAGAGAGAGAGAGAGAGAGAGAGAGAGAGAGACAGAGACAGAGAGAGAGAGATATTTTCCCCAATATTTGGAACCAAGGACTGATCACCCCAATCCACAAAAGTGGAGACAAATTTGACCCCAATAACTACCGTGGGATATGCGTCAACAGCAATCTTGGGAAAATCCTCTGCATTATCATTAACAGCAGACTAGTTCATTTCCTCAGTGAAAACAATGTACTGAGCAAATGTCAAATTGGCTTTTTACCAAATTACCGTACGACAGACCACGTATTCACCCTGCACACCCTAATTGACAAACAAACAAACCAAAACAAAGTCTTCTCATGCTTTGTTGATTTCAAAAAAGCTTTTGACTCAATTTGGCATGAGGGTCTGCTATTCAAATTGATGGAAAGTGGGGTTGGGGGAAAAACATACGACATTATAAAATCCATGTACACAAACAACAAGTGTGCGGTTAAAATTGGCAAAAAACACACACATTTCTTTCCACAGGGCCGTGGGGTGAGACAGGGATGCAGTTTAAGCCCCACCCTCTTCAACATATATATCAACGAATTGGCGAGGGCACTAGAACAGTCTGCAGCACCCGGCCTCACCCTACTAGAATCTGAAGTAAAATGTCTTCTGTTTGCTGATGATCTGGTGCTTCTGTCACCAACCAAGGAGGGCCTACAGCAGCACCTAGATCTTCTGCACAGATTCTGTCAGACCTGGGCCCTGACAGTAAATCTCAGTAAGACAAAAATAATGGTGTTCCAAAAAAGGTCCAGTTGCCAGGACCACAAATACAAATTCCATCTAGACACCGTTGCACTAGATCACACAAAAAACGATACATACCTCGGCCTAAACATCAGCGCCACAGGTAACTTCCACAAAGCTGTGAACGATCTGAGAGACAAGGCAAGAAGGGCCTTCTATGCCATCAAAAGGAACATAAAATTTGACATACCAATTAGGATCTGGCTAAAAATACTTGAATCAGTTATAGAACCCATTGCCCTTTATGGTTCTGAGGTCTGGGGTCCACTCACCAACCAAGAATTCACAAAAAAAAAAAAAAACATCCTCCGTGTACAACGTAAAACACCAAATAATGCATGCAGAGCAGAATTAGGCCAATACCCGCTAATTATCAAAATCCAGAAAAGAGCCGTTAAATTCTATAACCACTTAAAAGGAAGCGATTCCCAAACCTTCCATAACAAAGCCATCACCTACAGAGAGATGAACTTGGAGAAGAGTCCCCTAAGTAAGCTTGTCCTGGGGCTCTGTTTACAAACACAAACAGACCCCACACAGCCCCAGGACAACAACAACAACAACACAATTAGACCCAACCAAATCATGAGAAAACAAAAAGAGAATTACTTGACACATTGGAAAGAACAAACAAAAAAACTGAGCAAACTAGAATGCTATTTGGCCCTAAACAGAGAGTACACAGTGGCAGAATACCTGACCACTGTGGCTGACCCAAACTTAAGGAAAGCTTTGACTATGTACAGACTATTGAGAAAGGCCGCCGTAGGCAGACCTGGCTCTCAAGAGAAGACAGGCTATGTGCACACTGCCCACAAAATGAGGTGGAAACTGAGCTGCACTTCCTAACCTCCTGCCAAATGTATGACCATATTAGAGACACATATTTCCCTCAGATTACAGCGATCCACAAAGAATTTGAAAACAAACCCAATTTTGATAAACTCCCTTATCTACTGGGTGAAAATCCACAGTGTGCCATCACAGCTGCAAGATTTGTGACCTGTTGCCACAAGAAAAGGGCAACCAGTGAAGAACAAACAACATTGTAAATACAACCCATATTTATGTTTATTTATTTTCCCATTTGTACTTTAACTATTTGCACATTGTTACAACACTGTATATATACATAATATGACATTTGAAATGTCTTTATTCTTTTGAAACTTCTGAGTGTAATGTTTACTGTTAATATTTATTGTTTATTTCACTTTTGTTTACTATCTACTTCACTTGCTTTGGCAATGTTAACACACGTTTCCCATGCCAATAAAGCCCTTAAATTGAAATTGAATTGAGAGAGACAGTCAGAGAAAGAGAGAGAAACAGTCAGAGAGAGAGAGAGAGAAAAACAGTCAGAGAGAGAGAGAGAAAAAAAAAAATAGTCAGAGAGAGAAACAGTCAGAGAGAGAGAGAGAAACAGTCAGCGAGAGAGAGAGAGAGAAACAGTCAGAGAGAGAGAGAGAGACAGAGAGAGAGAGACAGAGATAGACAGAGAGAGAGACAGACAGACAGACAGACAGACAGACAGACAGACAGAGAGACAGAGAGACAGAGAGAGAGACAGACGGACGGACAGAGAGACTGACAGACGGACAGAGAGAGACAAAGAGAGAGAGACAAAGAGAGAGAGACAAAGAGAGGGAGAAAGAGAGAGAGAGAGAGAGAGAGAGACAGACAGACATACATACAGAGAGAGAGAGAGAGAGAAGAGATAGAGAGAGAGAGAGAGAGAGACAGAGAGAGAGAGAGAGACAGACGGACGGACAGAGAGAGACTGACAGACGGACAGAGAGAGACAGACGGACAGAGAGAGACAGACGGACAGAGAGAGAGAAACAGTCAGAAAGAGAAACAGTCAGAGAGAGAAATAGTCCGAGAGAGAGAGAGAGAAACAGTCAGAGAGATACAGCGAGAGACAGAGAGAGAGAGAGTTGAATTGAATTGAATTGCGAGAGAGAGAGCCTTGCTATTGAGAAAGGCCGCCGTAGGCAGACCTGGCTCTCAAGAGAAGACAGGCTATGTGCACACTGCCCACAAAATGAGGTTGAAACTGAGCTGCACTTTCTAACCTCTTGCCAAATGTATGACCATATTAGAGACACATATTTCCCTCAGATTACAGAGATCCACAAAGAATTTGAAAACAAACCCAATTTTAATAAACTCCCTTATCTACTGGGTGAAATACCACAGTGTGCAATCACAGCAGCAATATTTGTGACCTGTTGGCACAAGAAAAGGGCAACCAGTGAAGAACAAACAACATTGTAAATACAACCCATATTTATGTTTATTTATTTTCCCATTTGTACTTTAACTATTTGCACATTGTTACAACACTGTATATATACATAATATGACATTTGAAATGTATTTATTATTTTGGAACTTCTGAGTGTAATGTTTCCTGTTAATATTTATTGTTTATTTCACTTTTGTTTACTATCTACTTCACTTGCTTTGGCAATGTTAACACACGTTTCCCATGCCAATAAAGCCCTTAAATTGAAATTGAATTGAGAGAGACAGTCAGAGAAAGAGAGAGAAACAGTCAGAGAGAGAGAGAGAGAAAAACAGTCAGAGAGAGAGAGAGAAAAAAAAAATAGTCAGAGAGAGAAACAGTCAGAGAGAGAGAGAGAAACAGTCAGCGAGAGAGAGAGAGAGAAACAGTCAGAGAGAGAGAGAGAGACAGAGAGAGAGAGACAGAGATAGACAGAGAGAGACAGACAGACAGACAGACAGACAGACAGACAGACAGACAGACAGACAGACAGACAGAGAGACAGAGAGACAGAGAGAGAGACAGACGGACGGACAGAGAGACTGACAGACGGACAGAGAGAGACAAAGAGAGAGAGACAAAGAGAGAGAGACAAAGAGAGGGAGAAAGAGAGAGAGAGAGAGAGAGAGAGACAGACAGACAGACAGACAGAGAGAGAGAGAGAGAGAGACAGAGAGAGAGAGAAGAGAGAGAGAGAGAGAGAGAGAGAGACAGAGAGAGAGAGAGAGACAGACGGACGGACAGAGAGAGACTGACAGACGGACAGAGAGAGACAGACGGACAGAGAGAGACAGACGGACAGAGAGAGAGAAACAGTCAGAAAGAGAAACAGTCAGAGAGAGAAATAGTCCGAGAGAGAGAGAGAGAAACAGTCAGAGAGATACAGCGAGAGACAGAGAGAGAGAGAGTTGAATTGAATTGAATTGCGAGAGAGAGAGCCTTGCTATTGAGAAAGGCCGCCGTAGGCAGACCTGGCTCTCAAGAGAAGACAGGCTATGTGCACACTGCCCACAAAATGAGGTTGAAACTGAGCTGCACTTTCTAACCTCTTGCCAAATGTATGACCATATTAGAGACACATATTTCCCTCAGATTACAGAGATCCACAAAGAATTTGAAAACAAACCCAATTTTAATAAACTCCCTTATCTACTGGGTGAAATACCACAGTGTGCAATCACAGCAGCAATATTTGTGACCTGTTGGCACAAGAAAAGGGCAACCAGTGAAGAACAAACAACATTGTAAATACAACCCATATTTATGTTTATTTATTTTCCCATTTGTACTTTAACTATTTGCACATTGTTACAACACTGTATATATACATAATATGACATTTGAAATGTATTTATTATTTTGGAACTTCTGAGTGTAATGTTTCCTGTTAATATTTATTGTTTATTTCACTTTTGTTTACTATCTACTTCACTTGCTTTGGCAATGTTAACATACGTTTCCCATGCCAATAAAGCCCTTAAATTGAAATTGAATTGAATTGAATTGAGAGAGAGAAACAGTCAGAGAGAGAGAGAGAGAGAAACAGTCAGAGAGAGAGAGAAACAGTCAGAGAGAGAGAGAGAGAGAAACATTCAGAGAGAGAGAAACAGTCAGAGAGAGAGAGAAAGTCAGAGAGAGAGAGAAACAGTCAGAGAGAGAGAGAAACAGTCAGAGAGAGAGAGAGAGAAACAGTCAGAGAGAGAGAGAGAAACAGTCAGAGAGAGAGAGAAAGTCAGAGAGAGAGAGAAACAGTCAGAGAGAGAGAGAAACAGTCAGAGAGAGAGAGAGAGAAACAGTCAGAGAGAGAGAGAGAGAAACAGTCAGAGAGAGAGAGAGAAACAGTCAGAGAGAGAGAGACGGACAGAGAGAGAGAGAGAAACAGTCAGAGAAAGAGAGAGAAACAGTCAGAGAGAGAGAGAGACGGACAGAGAGAGAGAGATGGACAGAGAGAGAGAGAGACAGAGAGACACACAGAGAGAGAGAGAGAGAGAGAGAGAGAGAGAGAGAGAGAGAGAGAGAGAGAGAGAGAGACAGAGAGAGAGAGAGTGTCTGAGTACTGACCAGATAGGTCCATGACAGCAGTTCTGTAGGTTCTGCACCACAGAGGAAGGGGCCACCTCTGTACACAGGTAGTGGTGGGCATCTACCGTTAGACGGAAGTACCCGTCCACCAGGGCAGCGAACCCCAACGCCTCCCCTTTAAACTCCAGCTGCACCTCCTGTGGGACAATAGGAGAATTAAACAATAGTAAGAAATACTTTATAAATCAATACATTTGATTCTTGATTCTTTATTTAGATCCCCATTAGCTGACGCCTTAGTCTGTGTTCCAAAACACTCCACAAGTTTCCTTTCCTTAGTGTCCTGGGCCCGTATCCACAAAGCATCTCACAGTAGAAACTGGTTGTAAGTGCTGAGACTAGAGCCATTTTACTCCGACTCTTATAGGTACAAAAATGGGTAGCCATAAGAGTCCCACCTAGTCGACAGATATTTAGGACACCTCATGAGCTGTCCTAACCAGTTAAGAATGACCAGCAGGTGTCTTGATTATAGAAAAAGGTAGTGAGTCAGTGGTTCCTGCGCCATAGAAAGGCAACTGCTTTAGAGTTGTTGAAAGAATGTTTTGATATTTCTGATCAACACATAAATAATCTAGACCTACTGTACATGCAACAGTAGCCTTTCTCTTGCAGTCACAGTGATGCCCTGGCATGCAGTCACAGTGATGCCCTGGCATGCAGTCACAGTGATGCCCTGGCATGCAGTCACAGTGATGCCCTGCCATGCAGTCACAGTGATGCCCTGCCATGCAGTCACAGTGATGCCCTGGCATGCAGTCACAGTGATGCCCTGCCATGCAGTCACAGTGATGCCCTGGAATGCAGTCACAGTGATGCCCTGGCATGCAGTCACAGTGATGCCCTGGCATGCAGTCACAGTGATGCCCTGCCATGCAGTCAAAGTGATGCTCTGGAATGCAGTCACAGTGATGCCCTGGCATGCAGTCACAGTGATGCCCTGCCATGCAGTCACAGTGATGCCCTGCCATGCAGTCACAGTGATGCCCTGGCATGCAGTCACAGTGATGCCCTGCCATGCAGTCACAGTGATGCCCTGGAATGCAGTCACAGTGATGCCCTGGCATGCAGTCACAGTGATGCCCTGCCATGCAGTCACAGTGATGCCCTGCCATGCAGTCACAGTGATGCCCTGCCATGCAGTCACAGTGATGCCCTGCCATGCAGTCACAGTGATGTCCTGGCATGCAGTCACAGTGATGCCCTGCCATGCAGTCACAGTGATGCCCTGGAATGCAGTCACAGTGATGCCCTGGCATGCAGTCACAGTGATGCCCTGCCATGCAGTCACAGTGATGCCCTGGAATGCAGTCACAGTGATGCCCTGCCATGCAGTCACAGTGATGCCCTGCCATGCAGTCATAGTGATCATTTCAGTCCCACAGAGCTAGGCCAACATATTGTACTGTTTTGTTCACACTCGGGTAGTGTACACGTTTCTCACTGTACATAGCTCTATTCTGGACAGAGGTCTAATGATAATCTAATCTAATCTAATCTAAACACAGACTACTAATCCGATTATTTGTCCCTCGGCTAGGTTGGCTGGCTGTTAGGCCCGGTGACATTTGAACTCTGGCTGGCTGAAGCTGAGACAGTACAGTAGAGACAACGTTCATTAATCACTCATTAATACGCTACTGTTACTACTTAATCTACATCACCTGCATAATCCGAGCTAAAGTAGTGTTTGGAGAGATGCGTGTGTCTCTCACCATCTTCTTGTTATCCTGTCTGAAGATGGTGACTGTGGACTCTTTGATGACGATGTGTGTGATCTCGTGGAAGTCACAGAATGTAACCCAGCTGTCGCTGGCGTCATTCTTCTTGGGCTTGTTCTGTTTGCCCTCAAGCTTGTTCTTTTTGGACTTGTTCTTCTCTTTCAGGGTCAGGGTATTCTATTGCCAATGAAATAATAAATACATTGTAAAGAGATTTCTCTTAGATGAGTTTAGAAATACATTCAGATACTTCATCAATACCTTCCAAATTCACTCCAACTTCAGAGATACAGTGGGGAAAAAAAGTATTTAGTCAGCCACCAATTGTGCAAGTTCTCCCACTTAAAAAGATGAGAGAGGCCTGTAATTTTCATCATAGGTACACGTCAACTATGACAGACAAAATGAGGAAAAAAAATCCAGAAAATCACATTGTAGGATTTATAATAAATTTATTTGCAAATTATGGTGGAAAATAAGTATTTGGTCAATAACAAAAGTTTCTCAATACTTTGTTATATACCCTTTGTTGGCAATGACACAGGTCAAACGTTTTCTGTAAGTCTTCACAAGGTTTTCACACACTGTTGCTGGTATTTTGGCCCATTCCTCCATGCAGATCTCCTCTAGAGCAGTGATGTTTTGGGGCTGTCGCTGGGCAACACGGATTTTAACTCCCTCCAAAGATTTTCTATGGGGTTGATATCTGGAGACTGGCTAGGCCACTCCAGGACCTTGAAATGCTTCTTACGAAGCCACTCCTTCGTTGCCCGGGCGGTGTGTTTGGGATCATTGTCATGCTGAAAGACCCAGCCACGTTTCATCTTCAATGCCCTTGCTGATGGAAGGAGGTTTTCACTCAAAATCTCACGATACATGGCCCCATTCATTCTTTCCTTTACACGGATCAGTCGTCCTGGTCCCTTTGCAGAAAAACAGCCTCAAAGCATGATGTTTCCACCCCCATGCTTCACAGTAGGTATGGTGTTCTTTGGATGCAACTCAGCATTCTTTGTCCTCCAAACACGACGAGTTGAGTTTTTACCAAAAAGTTATATTTTGGTTTCATCTGACCATATGACATTCTCCCAATCCTCTTCTGGATCATCCAAATGCACTCTAGCAAACTTCAGACGGGCCTGGACATGTACTGGCTTAAGCAGGGGGACACGTCTGGCACTGCAGGATTTGAGTCCCTGGCGGCGTAGTGTGTTACTGATGGTAGGCTTTGTTACTTTGGTCCCAGCTCTCTGCAGGTCATTCACTAGGTCCCCCCGTGTGGTTCTGGGATTTCTGCTCACCGTTCTTGTGATCATTTTGACCTCACGGGGTGAGATCTTGTGTGGAGCCCCATATCGAGGGAGATTATCAGTGGTCTTGTATGTCTTCCATTTCCTAATAATTGCTCCCACAGTTGATTTCTTCAAACCAAGCTGCTTACCTATTGCAGATTCAGTCTTCCCAGCCTGGTGCAGGTCTACAATTTTGTTTCTGGTGTCCTTTGACAGCTCTTTGGTCTTGGCCATGGTGGAGTTTGGAGTGTGACTGTTTGAGGTTGTGGACAGGTGTCTTTTATACTGATAACAAGTTCAAACAGGTGCCATTAATACAGGTAACGAGTGGAGGACAGAGGAGCCTCTTAAAGAAGAAGTTACAGGTCTGTGAGAGCCAGAAATCTTGCTTGTTTGTAGGTGACCAAATACTTATTTTCCACCATAATTTGCAAATAAATTCATAAAAAATCCTACAATGTGATTTTCTGGAATTTCTTTTCTCAATTTGTCTGTCATAGTTGACGTGTACCTATGATGAAAATTACAGGCCTCTCTCATCTTTTTAAGTGGGAGAACTTGCACAATTGGTGGCTGACTAAATACTTTTTTCCCCCACTGTAATATACCGTTTCTCAAGCAAACTCAAAATCACGCCCACACAAATACCACATTCCACCCACTCAAAACCACTCAAGAACATTTGAAAACCTCCAAACTCACTCCAGAAATCTCACACCAACTCAACTAAAATCCCACACAACCTCCTTAACATCAAAAAGGACCCAGTGACCACTCACATTAGGGGGCTTCCTCCTGTATGATATCCCTGTGGTGCCAGTAACCTGGACCTCCATGGCCAGGGAGGGCTCAGGTCTGTGGCTAAGCCACCCATTGGTCTCTCCCTCCTGGGTAACTACCAGGGCCCTGGGCTCCAGCACCTCCCTCCCCAGGCCCCGGGTCAGGCCTTCCAGGGTGGACAGGTACTTGATCTTCAGGTCGTACAGTGTGATGTTACTGTCCTGCACAGTGCGACAGTTGAACTCATTCAGGAAGTTCTTGAAGACGTTGTTGATGCGGAGCCGGGTGAGAATGTTGCGCTGCTTGATTTGCCTGTTCAGTTTCTCCGGGATGAAACGCTTGTAGCTGGAGAGAGAGGGAGTAGAGATGGAGGAGAGAGGGAGTAGAGATGGAGGAGAGAGGGAGTATTGAAGGGAGGAAAGAGGGAGTAGTGAAGGGAGGAAAGAGGGAGTATTGAAGGGAGGAGAGGGAGTAGTGAGGGAGGAAGAGGGAGTCCAATTGAGAGGCAAGAGGGGAGTATTGAAAGGGAGGAAAGAGGGAGTCGTGAAGGGAGGAAGAGGGAGTAGTGCCGGGCGCCACCCGGCGTGTCCCGGGGGCCCGCGGGGTCTTGCCGGGGCCGCGGCGTCGTGCCGGGGCCGCGGGCGTCTTGCCGGGGCCCCGGGCGTCTCCGGCGCCCCGGCGTCTGCCGGGCGGCCCGCGGGGTCTGCCGGGCGGCCCCGGGCGTCTGCGGGCGCCGCGGGCGTCGTGCCGGGCGGCCCCGGGCGTCTTCCCGGGGCGGCCCCGGGCTTCGGCCGGGCGGCCCGCGGGCGTTCTGCGGGGGGCCCGCGGCGTATGGGGCGGCCCGGGGTGTCCCGGGGCGGACGCGGCTTCGTGCGGGGGCGCTCGCTGGCGGCCGTGGCGGATTGGGCTTGTCCTCCTTTCCTTTGTGCCTCTGTGTGTAAGTTATACAGTTACTGTGTGGTGTGTCTATGTTGTGTGTGAGATTAACATATACCTGTGTGGTGTCTATGTTGTGTGTAAATTATACAGTATAACTGTGTGTGTGTCTATGTTGTGTGTAAAGATTATACAGTATATCTGTGTGTGTGTCTATGTTGTGTGTAAAGATTATACAGTATATTGGTGTGTGTGTCTATGTTGTGTGTAGAGATTATACAGTATATCTGTGTGTGTGTCTATGTTGTGTGTGAGTGTGTGTATATATGTGTGTGTGTCTATGTTGTGTGTAGAGATTATACAGTATATCTGTGTGTGTGTCTATGTTGTGTGTAGAGATTATACAGTATATATGTGTGTGTGTATATGTTGTGTGTAAAGATTATACAGTATATCTGTGTGTGTGTCTATGTTGTGTGTGAGTGTGTGTATATATGTGTGTGTGTCTATGTTGTGTGTGAGTGTGTGTATATATGTGTGTGTGTCTATGTTGTGTGTGAGTGTGTGTATAGCTGTGTGTGTGTCTATGTTGTGTGTGTATATCTGTGTAGATCTCTACCTGATCTCATTGGAGGCAGTAGACAGGGGAATCTCTCTGGTCATAGCGTAGTGAGTGATGGCCAGTACAGCCATGCCCAGGCATTCATTCTCTATCTCACGCTGCTCCGCCTCACTCTGGGGGCTACGCACCACAGCCAGACCATTCTGGAAATCATTCTGGCCCTGGAAAAACACACACACACACACACGATGGGCTGACTAATGTTTCAATGAAATGAAGAGTAGTGAATCATATCCAGGACCTCTATATCAGGATGTGTCACAGAGGAAGGTCTGAAGAATTGTCAAAGACTTCAGCCACCCAAGAGAGACTGTTCACTCTGCTACCGTCCAGCAAACGGTACCAGAGCATCGGCTCTTGGACCAACAGGCTCCGAGACAGTTTCTACCCCCAAGCCATAAGACTGCTAAATAGCCATTTGACAGCTAAATAGTTAATGAAATGGTTACCCGGACTATCTGCATTGACTCTGCACTGACTCTATGCACACTCACAAGATTATATATACACACTACATACACATTCACTCATACACACTACACTGACACTCTCACGCAAAACCCAAACACATTCACATACACTAAATACGCACACACACACACACACACACACATACTGACACAACACACACACACAAACACGCACACACCCATAATATGCCGCTACTACTCTTTATTCTTACTCTTATTATTATCTATCCTGATGCCTAGTCACTTTACCCTGTCTTTATGTACATATCTACCTCAAATACCTTATTATTATCTATCCTGTTGCCTAGTCACTTTACCCTGTCTTTATGTACATATCTACCTCAAATACCTTATTATTATCTATCCTGATGCATAGTCACTTTACCCTGTCTTTATGTACATATCTACCTCAAATACCTTATTATTATCTATCCTAATGCCTAGTCACTTTACCCTGTCTTTATGTACATATCTACCTCAAATACCTTATTATTATCTATCCTGTTGCCTAGTCACTTTACCCTGTCTTTATGTACATATCTACCTCAAATACCTTATTATATTATCTGATGCCTAGTCAACTTGACACTGCTCATGGACATATCTAACCAAAACCTTATTATACTATCCTGTTGCCTAGTCACTTTACCCTGTCTTTATGTACATATCTACCTCAAATACCTTATTATTATCTATCCTGTTGCCTAGTCACTTTACCCTGTCTTCATGTACATATCTACCTCAAATACCTTATTATTATCTATCCTGATGCCTAGTCACTTTACCCTGTCTTTATGTACATATCTACCTCAAATACCTTATTATTATCTATCCTGTTGCCTAGTCACTTTACCCTGTCTTTATGTACATATCTACCTCAAATACCTTATTATTATCTATCCTGATGCATAGTCACTTTACCCTGTCTTTATGTACATATCTACCTCAAATACCTTATTATTATCTATCCTGATGCATAGTCACTTTACCCTGTCTTTATGTACATATCTACCTCAAATACCTTATTATTATCTATCCTGATGCATAGTCACTTTAACCCTGTCTTTATGTACATATCTACCCTCAAATACCTTATTATTATCTATCCTGATGCATAGTCACTTTACCCTGTCTTTATGTACATATCTACCTCAAATACCTTATTATTATCTATCCTGATGCATAGTCACTTTACCCTGTCTTTATGTACATATCTACCTCAAATACCTTATTATTATCTATCCTGATGCATAGTCACTTTACCCTGTCTTTATGTACATATCTACCTCAAATATCTTATTATTATCTATCCTGTTGCCTAGTCACTTTACCCTGTCTTTATGTACATATCTACCTCAAATACCTTATTATTATCTATCCTGATGCATAGTCACTTTACCCTGTCTTTATGTACATATCTACCTCAAATACTTATTATTATCTATCCTGATGCATAGTCACTTTACCCTGTCTTTATGTACATATCTACCTCAAATACCTTATTATTATCTATCCTGATGCATAGTCACTTTACCCTGTCTTTATGTACATATCTACCTCAAATACCTTATTATTATCTATCCTGATGCATAGTCACTTTACCCTGTCTTTATGTACATATCTACCTCAAATACCTTATTATTATCTATCCTGATGCATAGTCACTTTACCCTGTCTTTATGTACATATCTACCTCAAATACCTTATTATTATCTATCCTGATGCATAGTCACTTTACCCTGTCTTTATGTACATATCTACCTCAAATACCTTATTATTATCTATCCTGATGCCATAGTCACTTTACCCTGTCTTTATGTACATATCTACCTCAAATACCTTATTATTATCTATCCTGATGCATAGTCACTTTACCCTGTCTTTATGTACATATCTACCTCAAATACCTTATTATTATCTATCCTGATGCATAGTCACTTTACCCTGTCTTTATGTACATATCTACCTCAAATAACGTATTATTATCTATCCTGATGCCTAGTCACTTTACCCTGTCTTTATGTACATATCTACCTCAAATAACTTATTATTATCTATCCTGATGCCTAGTCACTTTACCCTGTCTTTATGTACATATCTACCTCAAATAACTTATTATTATCTATCCTGATGCATAGTCACTTTACCCTGTCTTTATGTACATATCTACCTCAAATAACTTATTATTATCTATCCTGATGCATAGTCACTTTATCCTGTCTTTATGTACATATCTACCTCAAATACCTCATACCCCTCCACATTGATCTGGTACTGGTTCTCCCTGTATATAGCTGCACATTGACCTGGTACTGGTACTCCCTGTATATAGCTCCACATTGATCTGGTACTGGTTCTCTCTGTATGTAGCTGCACATTGATCTGGTACTGGTACTCCCTGTATATAGCTGCACATTGACCTGGTACTGGTACTCCCTGTATATAGGTGCACATTGACCTGGTACTGATGCTCTCTGTATGTAGCTGCACATTGATCTGGTACTGGTTCTCCCTGTATATAGCTGCACATTGACCTGGTACTGGTACTCCCTGTATATAGGTGCACATTGACCTGGTACTGATGCTCTCTGTATATAGCTCCACATTGATCTGGTACTGGTACTCCCTGTATATAGCTCCACATTGGCCTGGTACTGGTACTCCCTGTATATAGCTGCACATTGATCTGGTACTGGTACTCCCTGTATATAGCTGCATATTGATCTGGTACTGGTACTCCCTGTATATAGCTGCACATTGACCTGGTACTGGTACTCCCTGTATATAGCTGCACATTGATCTGGTACTGGTACTCCCTGTATATAGCTGCACATTAACCTGGTACTGGTATTCCCTGTATATAGCTGCACATTGATCTGGTACTGGTACTCCCTGTATATAGCTCCACATTGGCCTGGTACTGGTACTCCCAGTATATAGCTGCACATTGACCTGGTACTGGTATTCCCTGTATATAGCTGCACATTGACCTGGTACTGGTTCTCCCTATTGCTTCATTCTTCTGTTATAATTTTTATCTCACAGTAAATTCTACACCTGTTGTAGTTGGCATATGTGACAAATAGCATTTTTACCTGCACAGTGTCCACAGACACACAAACATAAACACACACATACGTACCTGGGCGAACAGGTAGTCGAGGGAGGCCGCGTCCAGTAGGGGTGTACCTTCAGGGACCCTCTGTGGGCTGAGACCTCCCCTCAGCTTACTGATACAGTGTCTCCACACTGGAGACTCATGCTCACTGGTACCATGCCAGTTAGTGAAGTAAAACCTGATGGGTGGGAGAGAAGAGACAGGACAATGTTAATACCAAGACATGGTCGGGACTCGGTAGGTGGGTGAGGTGTGTGCATCCACATATTTACAGTAAGTATACGCATTTGTTTGTTTTTGTGTACAAAGGTTGGCCATAATCTGCTGGTTGACCAAGTGTACCCTGGCTGTATGACGCAAATTCAACTCAACAATAGGCCTGCTCATTTAGGCTCTGACCACATCTACCCCTCTTCCTCTCTCTCTATTTTCTAGTGAGAGGGCAGAAAGAGGAAGTCTGCGTGACACCACATGTTTGCTATACTTCCTCTCTGAGTTAACAGTTTCTCTTGGATCATACACAACGAAACTGGCAAGGCAACTGAATATCTCCTGTTTTAATGCCCTCAGGTGTGCCAAACAAACACATCCACTTGATACTTTAAGCATTGGATTTCGTCCTGCCTTGTATCCATGTTTACATGTGAATTGTAAAAACAGTTCACAAGTAAATCTTACTTAATTACATACTGCTGTATTCTAATCTTATCTGATGTAGACTACTTTACCAGCTCAGCAAGTGCCAGTCTACTCTGCACAGCATGGTGCCAATGTGCCATACACCCTACCTGCATGACAACGTTCATGTTACATTGAATCATGGTTGATGAATGATGGTTAAGTAACAGTCCTGTTGAATAATCTTTAACATAGTGACAGGCAGTGACGAGAGCTCACAGTGGCAAAAACAGCAGGTAACAGCGGTGGATAACTAAGTTAGTAACAATGGGAGGTGTATTGACGTCTGGTGAATGGCGTCAGTGAGATATTCATAATGCATTAGAATGATTTGATAATGTAATAACACACACAGTGCAGTAGGCCTGTCTAAGTACCTCATGCGGTAGCGCAGCTTGATGCAGGTCTCGTCAGTAACCTTGATGACGTGGTTGGGAGCGTACCACAGCCGTTTGTTCTCATCATACAGACCAAACAGACTATAGCACAGGGGGGATATATCTGAGAGAGAGAGAGAGAGAGAGAGAGAGAGAGAGAAGAGAGAGAGAGAGAAGAGAGAGATCGAGAGAGAGACGAGAAGAAGAGAAGAGAGCGAGAGAGAGAGAGAGAGAGATAAGATGAGGGAGATAGAGAGACCCAGAACATAGAGAGATCATATAGAGATGTTAGCTATGAGAAGACAGAATATAGACAATATAGTGATGTAAACAGAATATATCTCGGATATCTACCCTCGAGAGAAGAAGATCTAGTACCGAGCGAGCTCTCTCGACTCTCAGAGCGCACCCAGAGACCTAGTCCCCAGACCTCAGAGCCAGAGGATCGCAAGGAATATATATCAAAAACGCCCCCCCATCCTTGGCCACATTACCCCACTTTCCAGAGAGCATCTTACATTTAGGTAAAAGTTTGAACAATCAGGTTCGGTATAAGGTATAACAGACACTGACTGGTCAGTACCACAAAGTTCATACAGGAGTCATTGTATAAATAGCATAACATACTAGGGCTTGTATCGCAAGAATCAAGTTTTGATTTTATACCCCAAAAAAGTAAGAGCGTTCTATGTATTTTTGGTCTCATCTCCTACCCACGTTCCTACAGAGACATTATTTTATTGTAATAGACAAGAACTTAACCTTTCTAACTCCCAAAATGTAGAACAGAGCATACACTACTAAAACGAGAGCATCAATGAACATGATTGTGGAAAATGAATGCTCAGTTTCTGTCTGGCTTTTAATTTAATTTACCAAGTACCGCTAGCAGCATTTTATTCACATACTGTTATGTGCTAGCTGTCTAGTCTGTGTTTTATAAATGTGTAATGAGCATAAAAAGACACATTTATATAAGGAATTGGCAACTCGTTCTCATTCTGAGAAATAAGCATCTTCTTATCCAGGTAGGCAATGGATTTCAATATCTAATGTGAGAGTTCAGTGACCTGCCGGAGGAAGACGACATGACAGCACCCTCCTCAGGGGATAGGTACTGATTGTAAAGCCAATTAGTACACAGCTGGGCCCACTAACTGCGTAGTCTCCCTCTATATAGGTGTGCCAGGAGATGAGCTCGGGGCTGGGAGCAGACACGGGGACCTGTGAGGATGTCGTACTTTCCTACCGCAGATAAAGCTTCTTCATCTGATGCACCTTGTCTCTCTGTTAAACAAGGCAGGCTATAGGTAGAGAGAAGCGTTCCACCTGTAAATATTATGTGTAGACAATAGCCTAAAGACGGGTGAAGCCTTTTGTTGTTTTGTTTTCCCTTTTTGGCCACAGCCTTTTGGTCAACTGCTTAGTTTATTTTATATTCCTTTTCTTTCACTGTTGTTTCAGTATTGGACGCTACCCTGTACTGGAATTGTTTTGTTGGGTGAAAGAAAACCTGTTTATTGACAATACAAAAGAAAAGGAACCACAACCACTGCCTCCAGTCTGTTCATGTCATTCCTCCCGCCTGTGTTAAGGTGTTTCGGACAAGCTGATCCGTCACAACTGGTGGAGAATGCGGGCACCTTGAGGCAAGACCAGAATCAATCCCCTTTCCGGTGGCTGTGATTATTTTTATTTTTCGGAAGCCCACTACACCCACTGATAGGCATGAGCGAAGAGTTGCTACGTCAGCTAACGGCCTGCGCCATCACCCAACAGGAGACCCTAGACCTCCTCAGGTCCGAACTAGCAGACCGCCCGTCTCCCAGGGATCGTAGGAGGCCCAACGTCAGCGCGCTGTCGGAGGACTACGATGTGGAGGCCTATCTTCTGGCCTTCGAACGAACGGAGCAGAGAGAGATGGCCTCAGGATGACTGGGCGGGCCTCCTGGCTCCCCTGCTCACAGGCAAAGCACAGGCGGCGTACTATGACATTGAGGAAGGGGCTGCCGAACGTCTGAAGGCGGAGATTCAGTCTCGCTATCAACTGAACCCCAGAGACCGGGCCCAAAGGTTTCATGCCTGGAAGTACAACGAAGAGGAGTCACCGAGGGGCCAGCTCTACCAACTTATAGAGACCCCGTTTGAGTGCATAGCCATGGACCTGGTGGGAACCCTGCCGCATTCGGCGCGCGGGCATGAGTACATCTTGGTGGTGGTGGACTATGCAACGAAGTTCCACTGAGGTCGATGACAACGAAAGCCATAGCAAAATAACTGTATATCATGTTCTCCCGAGTGGGACTCCCGGCCACCATCCTGACCAACCAGGGCACGCCGTTCATGTCCAGACTGATGAAGGACCTGTGTCAGTTATACCGGGTCAAACAAATAAGTACCAGTGTGTACCACCCCCAGACGGACGGGCTGTGTGAACAGCTGAATAAAACCATCAAAAGCATGCTACGCAGGGTGGTGGACCGTGACAGGACAAATTGGGATATGTTGTTGCCGCACCTCATGTTCGCGCTCCAGGAGGTTTCCCAGGCATCAACTGGCTTCTCGCCTTTCGATCCTCTCTATGGGCGGCCCTGTCGCGGCTTCCTTGAGGCCTGGGAGAACCAACCCTGCCCGTACCGTTCCCTCATCGAACACATCACATTCATAAAAGACCGAATGGCAGCGATATGGCCGGTGGTGAGAGAACATGGCCAAAGCACAGGAAAACCAAGCCCGCGCTATTTTTTATTGGTAAATTTACAAACATATATAATGATAAATAGACTTGAAACTTGTATCTCATTATGGTGTATGGTGAAATAAGTATAGCCAGTTATAATTGTAATGGCTTAGCTGATAAAAACAAAAGAAGAACAATATTTACATGGCTCAAAGAGAAGGAATATAATATCTATTGTATACAGGAAACTCATTCAACAATTCGAGATGAAGTAGCGTGGAAAAAAGAATGGGGGGGGGGGGGAATATACTTCTCCCATGGGCAAAGAAATTCAAAAGGGGTGATGATATTAATTAATAGTAATTCTGATCCGAATGTGCAAATTGTCCAAATAGATACGCAAGGTAGATGGATTATTTTAAATATGTTATTGGACCATAAACCACAACAATTCAAGACAATATTATTATGGTGGGGGATTATAATACTGTTTTAAATAGCTCAATGGACCGTAAAGGAAATCACACCACAAACAATCACCCACATGCTCTTAAGGAAATTGTGAATGTCATGGATACATTAGAACTAGTAGATATATGGAGGCTTAAATATACTGATCTAGTGAGATATAACATGGCGGAGACTGAATCAAGCTAGTCGTCTTGACTTCTTTCTTATCTCATTCTCGTTGGCACCAAAAGTAAAAAAAGTGTTGATAGGGGACAGAATGCGGTCGGACCATCATATAATAGGCATATACATTACTCTTACTGAATTTCCACGTGGGCGAGGATATTGGAAATTTAATCAAAGCCTATTGGATGATAATTTATTTATAATTAGAACAAAGGAATTTATAACTGACTTTTTCCAACATAACATAGGTACAGCGAATCCCCTTATTGTATGGGACACCTTTAAATGTGCCTTTAGAGGCCATGCAATTCAGTACTCATCTCGAAAACAAAAGCAATTTAGGTCAAAAGAGTTTATACTAAGAAAGGAAATAGAAAGTCTAACAGAACAGATAGATGGCAATAAAAACTGTAACATAGAGGCTCAGAATAAATTAGAGGAAAAACAAAAAGAAATGGAGAAACTTATTCAAGAAAGATCAAGTGTAATATATTATAAAAATAAAGCAAATTGGATGGAATATGGGGAAAAATGCACAAAATTCTTTTTTAATCTTCAACATAGGAATGCTACCAAAAAGAACTTAATGAAACTGGTTACAATTGACGGAGTCACCCATAATTCACCAAATGATATTTTGAAGGAAGAAACAAAGTACTTTAAGCATATGTTTTCTTTTCAGTCGCCTCCATCTCCTCTAACTGAAGCTAATTGTAGAGATTTTTTTTCTATTGATAATGTCAAATTAACAGCCACACAGAAAGACTCATGTGAAGGTGAAATTACAGAGGAGGAACTTCTGGATGCAATTAAAGACTTTAAGTCCGGGAAAACTCCAGGGTTGGATGGCATACCAGTCGAGGTATACCAAACCTTTTTTGATATACTAAGAGGACCGTTATTAGCATGTTTTAACCACTCCTATGTAAATGGTAGATTATCTGACACTCAAGAAGAAGGTCTGATCTCATTATTACTGAAACAGGATACAAGTGGAAAATATAAAGATCCAGTCCATTTACAAAATTGGAGGCCCCTTACACTTCAGTGTTGTGATGCAAAAATCCTAGCAAAATGTATAGCGTATAGAATTAAAAAGGTATTGTCGGATATTATTCATTCAAATCAGACAGGTTTTTTACATGGAAGATACATTGGAGATAATATAAGGCAAGTATTGGAAACAATAGAACACTATGGAAAATATGGGAAACCAGGCCTGCTATTCATAGCAGACTTCGAAAAGGCATTTGATAAAGTTCGACTGGGGTTTATATATAAATGCCTGGAGCATTTCGATTTTGGAGAATCTCTTATAAAATGGGTCAAAATCATGTATAGTAACCCTAGGTGTAAAATAGTAAATAATGGCTATTTCTCAGAAAGTTTTAAACTGTCAAGAGGAGTGAAACAAGGTTGTCCACTATCGGCATATCGATTTATTGTGGCCATCGAGATGTTAGCTATTAAAATCAGATCCAATAATAATATCAGAGGATTAGAAATACAGGGCTTAAAAACAAAAAGGTGTCATTGTACGCAGATGATTCATGTTTTCTTTTAGATCCACAACTAGAATCCCTCCACAGCCTCATGGAGGATCTAGATACATTTTCTAACCTCTCTGGATTACAACCAAATTATGACAAATGTACTATATTACGTATTGGATCACTAAAAAATACAATTTTTACATTACCATGTAGTTTACCAATAAAATGGTCTGATGGTGATGTGGATATACTCGGAATACATATCCCAAAGGAAATAAATGATCTCACTTCAATAAATTTTAATAGAAAGTTAGCAAAAATAGATAAGATCTTACTATCATGGAAAGGAAAATACCTGTCAATTTGTGGAAACATCACCCTGATTAACTCTTTAGTATTATCCCAGTTTACCTATTTGCTTATGGTCTTGCCTATGCCTAGCAAACAGTTTTTTTTTATTATATGAGAAAAAAATATTCAATTTTATTTGGAACGGCAAGCCAGACAAAATTAAAAGAGCATATTTATATAATGAATATGAATTCGGAGGACATAAATTATTAAATATTAAAGCATTAGACCTATCACTAAAATCTTCAGTCATACAAAAGTTATACTTAAATCCAAACTGGTTCTCAAGCAAATTAGTAAGATTGTCTCACCCAATGTTCAAGAAAGGCCTTTTTCCCTTTATTCAGATTACAACCTCTCACTTTCAGTTATTTGAAAAGGAAATAATCTCCCAAATGTCACTATTTCTAAAACAAGCCATAGAAAGTTGGTTGCAATTTTAATTTAATCCTCCAGAAACGACAGAACAAATAATGCAACAAATATTGTGGTTAAATTCAAATATACTAATTGACAAAAAACCTTTATTTTTTGACAGAATGTTTAAAAAAGGTATAATCTTCGTAAATGATATCATCGGTAGGACTGGTGGAGTTATGTCGCACATGCAGCTAACAAAAACATATGGAAATGTCTGCTCTACCCAAAATTACAACCAAATAATTGCAGCCTTACCGCAAAAGTGGAAGAGGAAAGTGGAAGGGGGAGAAAGTAAGGAACTTGTCTGTCGGCCTTGCATTAAAAAACATAATTGGTTAAGGAAAACTGTGATAAATAAAAAAGTATATCAGTTTCACTTAAGGACCAAAGGATTGACAGCCGTCCCATATAGATTGCAAAATAGTTGGGAAGAGATCTTTGACGTACCGATCCCATGGCATAGTGTTTATGAACTGACACGCAAAACGACACCGGATTCAAAAATTAGAATCTTTCAATTTAAATTATTATATAAAATTCTTGCTACCAATAGAATGTTATTTATATGGGGGATACAATCTTCCCAGCTCTGCAGATTTTGCTGTGAAGAGACAGAATCATTAGATCATTTGTTTTGGTTCTGTCCATTTGTAGCTTGTTTTTGGACACAGGTCCAGGAATGGCTAAAGGATTGCAATATTTACCTGGAACTAACCTTGCAGATAGCATTACTGGGTGATCTGAAAAGTCATAGTCAATCAATCAATAATATAATAATACTTTTAGCAAAAATGTTTATTTTTAATTCACAATCTGTAGAAGCAATGAGAATAGAAAGGTTCAGAACTTTTGTAAAACATCACAGTACGGTTGAAATATATATGGCAAATAGAAATCCTATATGGATGGTGTTAAGAGATAGATGGGAGGTATTGAATAGAGTTGAAGGATGGGACTAATAACAAATAACAACAAATAATAACAAAGATAGCTAATAATGTAAGCATACTGTGTCCATAATAAGTATATAGGTTGTATGTTGGGAGCTTTTGGGAAAGAGCACAGTTAGAAAGATATGGCATATAGAAGCAAACCGGATGGACATCATGAAAATGATCGGAGAGGTTGAGAGTAGAAGAAGTTCAGGAGCAAAAAATAAATAATATATATATATATATATATATATATATATATATATATATATATATATATATATATATATATATATATATATATAATATAATTATTGTAAAATTAACTCTGTCCATAAGGTGTAGATAGTAAGTATAGACCGGAAGTAGAGGCCTGGGCATTGTTGTTCACTAATTTACTCCAAGTAGGGAAAGGATGGTGGGGTTGAAAAGTAATAAAGGGGAGTATATATATATTTTAAAAAAATACATGGGGGATTGATCCATTCCCCCCCCCCCCAAAAAAAATAAAAAAATAAAATTAAAATAAAAATAATAAAACACACAAAAAAATATTATAAAAATAATATTATTATTATTATTTTTTAACCCGGGCTTACAATAGAACGGCCCAGCCGTGACAGTTCCGCCCAGGAGATAAGGTACTTCTCCTCGTCCCCATGCCGGAACACAGGCTCCTGGCTCAGTGGCAGGGCCCATATGTGGTGACAGAGCAAGCCTCCCCGGTCAACTACAGGTTGAGTCAGCCAGGACGACGGCGCCCTCAGCAGATATACCACATCAACCTGTTGAAAGCCTACTTGGAACGAGAGACACAGGTGCTGATGGGACTTAAGGCAGACGAAGAGGAACGTCCGCCAGAAACGGCTCAGCAGACGCGAGACCTTGAAAAGGTTGTCCAACAGAACCAACGGGTATTCTCCCCCCTTCCGGGGCAGACCTCCTTGCTCTGTCATCGCATAGCCACGGAGCCAGGGAAGAAGGTACATCTCCGACCCTACAGGGTACCAGAGGCACGTCGGGAGATGGCACGGAAAGAGGTGAGGGAGATGTTGAAGATGGTGGTCGTCGAGCCGTCCACCAGCGAATGGTCCAGCACTATCATGCTGGTGCCTAAACCCGATGGGTCTATTCGCTTCTACAACGATTTCAGAGCCCTCAACGCCATCTCCAGGTTCGACACCTACCCCATGCCGAGGGTCAATGAGCTTGGGAAAGCCCGCTATATATCGGCCCTCGTCCTCACCAAGGGGTACTGGCAGGTGCCTCTGGCCCCCGAAGACTGCCACAAAACCGCCTTTGCCACCCCGAATGGGCTATTTCAGTACGTCCGCCTCCCCTTCGGCTTGCACGGAGAGCGGCCACCATCTTCCAGAGGCTTATGGACACGCTGTTACGTCCTCATCAGTCCTTCGCCGCCACCAATATTGATGACGTGGTAATACACAGTGAGGACTGGGAGGACCACCTCCGCCAGCTGCACCATGTGCTGGCCAGCCTGGAGGCGGCCGGCCTGACAACCAACCCGAAGAAGTGCCACCTGGGACTGAACGAGGCTGAAAACCTTGGCTACACCATCGGAAGCGGTCTGATCAAACCCCAGGTGGAGAAGACCAGGGCCATCCAGGAGTGGCCGCGGCCCAAGGACAAGAAGGGGGTCCGCTCATTTCTGGGCCTAACGGGTTACTACAGGCGGTTCATCCCAAGCTACTCCACCATCGCCACCCCACTGACCAACATGACAAAGAAGTGGAACCTGGTGAGGGTGGTATGGACATCTGAAGCCGAGGGGGCGTTCCTCCACCTCAAAGACACGCTGTGCTCGGAGCCGGTGTTGAGAGCCTCAGATTTCCAGCAGCCCTTCACCATCCACACCGACGCCTCCAGCACCGGCTTGGGGGCTGTTCTGTCTCAAGGGGACGGGGCTGGAGGAAAGTCCCATCCTATACATAAGCTGCAAGCTGTCCGACAGGGAGAGGATGTACGCGACGATAGAGAGGGAGGCACTGGCAATTAAGTGGGCCCTGGAATACCTGAGGTACTATCTCCTGGGGAGACGATTCCGACTGGTCACAGATCATGCGCCCCTCCAGTGGATGGCGGGTAAGCGAGACACGAACTGCCGAATAACAGATTCCTGTCACTCCAACCCTTTAACTTCCAGGTGGTTCACCGATCGGGGAGAGCACACGGCAATGCAAAAGCACTATCCTGTCGAGACCCGGAGGTCTCGTCTGGCGCACACCCCTCTGGGTCGCTCTTGGGAGGGAAGGCATGTGAGAGTTCAGTGACCGGCCGGAGGAAGACGACACGACAGCACCCTACTCAGTGTTAAGCCAATTAGTACACAGCTGGGCCCACTAATTGCGTGGTGTCTCCCTCTACATAGGTGTGCCAGGAGATGAGCTCGGGGCTGGGAGCAGACACGGGGACCTGTGAGGATGTCGTACTTTCCTACCGCAGATAAAGCTTCTTCATCTGATGCACCTTGTCTCTCTGTTAAACAAGGCAGGCTATAGGTAGAGAGAAGCGTTCCACCTGTAAATATTATGTGTAGACAATAGCCTAAAGATGGGTGAAGCCTTTTGTTGTTTTGTTTTCCCTTTTTGGCCACGGCCTGGCCTTTTGGTCAACTGCTTAGTTTATTTTTTATTCATTTTCTTTCGCTGTTGTTTCCTGTACTGGAATCGTTTTGTTGGGTGAAAGAAAACCTGTTTATTGACAATACAAAAGAAAAGGAACCACAACCACTGCCTCCAGTCTGTTCATTTCATTCCTCCCGCCTGTGTTAGGGTGTTTCGGACAACCTGATCCGTCACAATAAACAAAGTGAACAGGCTATGTTGTTCAAACAGTTGGAGACAGAAGGGTGTGTTCATATCAGTTAAACAGTTCTACCTTTTTAGCAAACAAATAGATCCAAGTTGGTTAGACTAAATAAAGATTAGCTGGCTACTCACTAGCATGTGGGCTTGTGCATGAGAGATTGTTTATGAGACCTGTGTAAATTTTCCATAATGTATACTACAAGAAGTTAGTCATTAGGCCTATTAGTGGATGTGCATGGTTTTGGTTAAATTTGTAACAAAAATGGCATTTTCATAAACAGACTTGAAAGCTAGATCAGTGATTATTGTCAAAAAAGCACATTAAACTATTTTGATCAAATAATACAATTATTAGTGGGTCTTATGGTTGTGGAAGGCTTATATTTAGCCTAGGTATAATTTTACAAGGCCTGCATTCATTACATGATTCCTAACTGTTTGAAATGCAGTGTATTGACCTTTAATTATGAAACAAAGCTTATTTAGAGAAAATGTTTTTGAAAAAATGTAGATATATATCCTGAATCGTCCAGAAGTAAAAAATAAATAAATAAATAGAGGTATGATTTTAAAGCCATTATCGCCCATCCCTATAACATACAGTACCCGATCCAGAACAGAGTCAATACAGAGTCCTTTTTTTTTTGGGGGGGGGGGGGGACTCAATTGGGCTTTCAATTTACTTCTGTTGAGAGTTGTAATAATAGAATGCACAAGGTGCAATTTCAACATTTGGTAGCGCATGGGCAGTTTTCCTCTTGTTAGCCTATTTCATTCACTGACAGACCTTAGAGAGCTATTTATAAACTGCCAGAAATGTCCAGTTGATCAACTAGCCCATGTCAGCTAGGTAGTAATGCTAGTCTAACCTATCTAACTAAGTCTTGTAGAATAGTAGTTATCATGGCCAGATTATGTGCCCAGGGGCCTCGACACCCAGGGGGCCCCCATTGATTTTGTTGAGTCGCTCAGGTATCATATAAACACATAAGACATTGCAAAATTTGTAGAATTGCAGGAAATTAGCTTTAAAACTACTAAATGCTCTCTCCGCCCCCATGGCAAAATGTGTAGAATGGCAGGAAATTAGCTTTAAAACGGCAACATTTTCTCTCCGCGCCAACATGAGTGGTGTGAACAGTTTGGGGTGCGAGGTGCGGTTTTGTTACTACGCCGATAAATGACAATATCCACCCGAAAACCTAGGACATTTGTGTGACTGGACCTTCTCAAATAGTACCCCTGCAGTAGAGAGTACAGGTGATCCTCTGTAGCTCAATTGGTAGAGCATGGCGCTTGTAACGCCAGGGTAGTGGGTTCGATCCCCGGGACCACCCAAACCTAAAAATGTATGCACACATGACTGTAAGTCGCTTTGGATAAAAGCGTCTGCGAAATGGCATATTATTATTACATGCATGTATGCCTATAGTTTTTGTGTGAAAAACAGAACAGAGGTGAAGTCGCATTAGGAATAATAACGTATTGGACGTTTGCATGACTTGGCTATGGATACTAGCTATGTTCATGTCTCCAATAGGTGTACATCTTCACAGTCACAGTGGGTCTTTGTGTGGTTAGAGGTTGGAGAGCAGGTTTCATCTGGTCAGGAATTCACAGGGCAGCCAAGGAGACAGGAAGGAAGGGAGTGGTGCACTGAACTGAACTGTGGGAAATTAGTTCTGCAAAACACACTGAGTTGGACAGAGACAGAGGGAATCCCCCAACATAAATCAAGCCTCCAGTGGTATAATTCAGATCAAAATATGTGGATGTTACTCTATCTTAATGTATTGCACTAAGCATGAACTATGTGGATGTTACTCCATCTACTACTACTGCCTCTACTACTGCTACTACTACTACTACTACTACTACTACTACTACTACTACTACTACTACTACTACTGCTGCTGCTGCTACTACTGCTACTGCTGCAACTGCTACTACTGCTGCTGCTACTACTGCTACTGCTACTACTACTACTACTACTACTACTACTACTGCTGCTACTACTACTACTACTACTACTGCTACTGCTGCTACTACTACTACTGCTACTACTACTGCTACTACTGCTACTACTACTGCTGCTGCTGCTACTGCTGCTGCTGCTACTACTGCTACTACTACTACTACTACTACTGCTACTACTACTACTACTGCTACTACTACTACTACTACTACTACTACTACTACTGCTGCTACTACTACTCCTCCTGCTACTACTGCTAATGCTACTACTACTACTACTACTATTACTGCTGCTACTACTGCTACTACTGCTGCTGCTACTACTGCTACTACTACTACTACTACTACTACTACTACTAGTAGTGGCCTCCTGAAGCTCAGTTGGTAGAGCATGGCGCTTGCAACGCCAGGGTTGTGGATTCGATTCCCACGGGGGGCCAGTATGCACTCACTAAAATTGTAAGTCGCTCTGGATAAGAGTGTCTGCTAAATGACAAATGTAAATGTCCTACTACATTTACATTGTACTGCTGCTGCTACTACTACTACTACTTCTGCTGCTGCTACTACTACTACTACTACTACTACTACTACTACGACTAGTACTACTGCTAATACTACTACTGCTGATGCTCATGTTACTACTACTACTACTACTACTACTACTACTACTGCTGCTGCTGCTACTACTACTACTGCTACTGCATATCCTATTGGCTACCACTGTAGCCTTTACAGATGAGCCTTTCTAATTGTTGCAAACAATAAAGGGAACCTTGTGAGAGACAGGAAAATGATGGGGCCAGGATACTTCCTCTTTTCTGAGCTCTATTGTTTTGTTGGGACTGAGTGTGTGTATCAAACTACCTACCACTGACCACACACAGAAAGGCCCTTCACAGAAACACTCGCTAAACAGATCATACATTTATGTTGGCAGCTGCTTTGCTTGTTTAGCCTATAAGGTTAACTAGTGAATATTTGCGTATGGACTATGGTAGCTGTGGAGCTGAACTCCTCCTTGGTCTGAACTCCTCCTTGGTCTCCCCTCTCGCTCTGCAGTCCTGGGAAGAGACATTTTGGCTTCACACAAGGAAGAAATTACAGAACCTGTCCCATCCTGACCCGACCCCAACCAGCCGGCATCTTGTCTTGGAGTGTCTGGCTGAAAGGAAGAGCCGGACGGACAGACCCACTCCTTTCTCTTCCTCTCTCTTTCTCTCTCCCTTTCTATCCATCCCCGGTCACACTGGCAGATGTTTTGGACTTTTAGAGCCAGTATCAGAACAAAGTTTTAAATATAGTTCAAAATGTGTCTGTCAAAGAAGAAGGCTACCAAACAAGCATTTTTAGAGCCGTAAGAAAACAGATGCTGGATGTTAGTGGCCTTTCTCGTACAGGATAGTAGCTGGGTTACATCTGCTTTATCAATCTGTCTGTATTGTGTGCCTTATATCTGGCAGGGTGAAGCAGAAATGCAGTTACTGTAATAGCCTGTTCATATGGTCACTACTAGCATCAGAAGCATTTCTTATATTAGGATTTAGCGTTTCTTATCTTAAACATCGAGATTCAGCAGTAATAAAGAGCATCCACTGACAAATATTAGATTGTTGGCAATAAAACAAAACCCACAAGTAACACAGATAGGCTTACATCTTTGGAACATTTTCTGATCCCATTTCATATGGTCTAGACCCTACTGTATGACACAAATGAGCAGCACACACAAAGAGATGAAACATCTCCTACTATGAAGCCATTTATTTCTTAGTTACTGTATTTCTCCTTCCTGTCTCCTAGCTAACAGTGGCACAGTGGACTTCTCTGTTGGCAGATAGGCTCTATCAGGTGTGGCGTACAGCAGGTCAGCCACCAGGGGGAGACTCGTCGAGGCCTGGTAACAGATGGAGTATACATCACGAGGCGGTGGCTCCATCGGCTGGACGTGCCAGGTCTCGACGGGCTCCCCGGACAGGACTAATTGGGGCTGATTGGGAGCTGGTGAGTAATTAGCCATTTCCAAATTAAGAATAATCTTTTGGATCAGGTGTCACGCCAACAGGGGGAACTTCGAGAGGTATTGTTGCTGCCCCGACGGTACGTAGGGACTGTTGGGGCGCACCTGGGAATGGAGAAGACGCGGTAACGGGTCTGGACCTCCGTTTTTCACCCGCAGACGGATGGGCTAGTCGAGCGCTTTAACAAAACGCTCAAACAGATGCTGCGGAAGGTCATCAAGCAGGACGGGAAGCACTGGGACCAGCTGCTACCCCACCTAATGTTCTCAATCCGAGAAGTACCCCAATCCTCCACTGGGTTTTCCCTGTTTGAACTCCTCTACGGGAGGAGGCCACATGGCCTACTGGACCTCGCCAAGGAGATGTGGGAAGCCCAACCGACCCCCTTACGCAGCGTGGTAGAGCACGTGGAGACGATGCGGGAGCAGATGACTGCCATATGGCCAGTCGTGAGGGAACATATGGAGAAGGCCCAACGCGCCCAAGCCCAGGTCTACAATCGGGGAGCCCAGCCCCGAGAATTCCAGGTGGGAGACAGGGTGTTGGTGTTGATCCCCACGGCCGAAAGTAAGTTCCTGGCAACACGTGAACCTGTTGAAGAGGTGGCACGAGAGGACAGCCTTGGCCGTGTTATGGTCGGGACCCCGGATGCCAACGGTACCAGTGGTGGTCCCGAGCAGTGAGGACCTCGACCCGGCCCAGAAGCAAGAGCTCCGGGAGCTGGTCGATCGGAACACGGCGGTGTTCTCCGAGAAGCCGGGTCGCACGACCCTCATTGAACACCACATCCGTACCCGGCCCGGGGAAACAGTAAGAAAGAGGCCGTATCGAATTCCGGAGGCCCAACGGAAGGCTGTGAAACAAGAAGTGGAGGCTATGCTGAGGATAGGGGTCATTGAAGAGTCCCACAGTGCATGGTGCAGCCCCATCGTGTTGGTGCCCAAACCGGACGGTAGCCTCCGCTTCTGTAATGATTTCCGGCGTGTGAACGACATAAGCGTATTCGACGCCTACCCCATGCCGAGGGTGGACGAGCTAATCGACCGATTGGGAAAGGCCCGGTACATCAGCACCCTTGACCTGACTAAAGGATATTGGCAGGTACCATTGGCAGCCTCCTCCCGGGAGAGAACAGCGATCTCAACACCAGACCAGTACTGGGTGCTCCCGTTCGGTCTCCACGGAGCCCCGCCCACATTCCAGCGACTGATAAACAGAGTGCTTCGACCCCACCAGCAGTACACAGCGGCCTATCTGGATGATATCATCATCCACAGCCAAGGTTGGGAGGAGCACCTGACGCGCCTCCAGGCGGTGCTGGACGCGCTCAGACAAGCCGGGTTGACCGCAAACCCCAAGAAATGCAAGCTAGTGTTCGAGGAGTTGGAGTACCTGGGGTATTTGATTGGACGGGGGAACGTCAAGCCCCAGGAGAGGAAGGTTCACGCGGTACGTGACTGGCCCGTTCCACGCACCAAGACACAGGTCAAGTCCTTCCTGGGACTGGCAGGATACTATAGCCGGTTTATCCCCAACTTTGCGGCTATAGCTTCTCCCCTCACCGATCTAACCAGGGCCCGCCTCCTGAAAACAGTGAAATGGATGGACGAGACAGAAGCGGCGTTCAGCCGTCTGAAGGAAGCCCTGTGCTCCCATCCGATTCTCGTAACGCCCGATTTCCAGGTGCCGATGGTGGTCCAGACGGATGCATGTGATACGGGACTAGGGGCCGTTCTGTCCCAGATACACGATGGGGAGGAGCACCCCATCATGTACATCAGCCGAAAGCTGATACAGAGAGAAAAAAAATACAAAATTGTTGAGAAAGAGTGTCTGGCGGTGAAGTGAGCTAAGGGGGGGGGGGGGGGGGGGGGGGGGGGGGGGACTCGTCGAGGCCTGGTAACAGATGGAGTATACATCACGAGGCGGTGGCTCCATCTGCTGGACGTGCCAGGTCTCGATGGGCTCCCAGGACAGGACTAATTGTGGCTGATTGGGAGCTGGTGAGTAATTAAGGGCGGATTGCTTACCAGCTGTGCAATGTCCATAAAGCTGCCAGAAGGGCAGCACATGGGAGAGGACTGGGGGAAGTAAGGTAACGTCCGTGTAGTTGGAGACGGTATCATGAAGAGGGTCTCATGGGGGAGAACTAACCTTTTCTTTTGATTATTTTATTAATAAACACCCTTGAAACTGAGCTACTCATACTCTGTTCGTGTCTGATCTGTGTAAACGTCTTGACCCAACCCCCTGATCTGCCACACAGGTTAAGTCTCATTTATCCCCAATTAGTTCTAAATGAGCAAATGTAAAAAGGTCATGAACAGTCACAATCATGTTTTTCATGAAATTGGATGATATTCGAAGGAAACCAGATCAAAGTATGATGACCAAAGTATGAAAAATGACTGTAGATTCTACATTGATCAAGTTTGATCATAAAGTTACTGGTCCCCTACCCCATGTCAAACACTTGGATTCATTATTAAGTGAACAAGGTGACATCACCTTAACTCTAATTTTAATACACCAATGGTAACATGATATTCTCTTACCTAATTTAAATAAGTACCACCTTGTAACCAACATCGGAGAAGGCGTATTTGCAGAGGGGCGTGGTATACAGTAGCTAGGTAGCTACTCTACTGGTGCCAACATTTCACTGTATGGTGCCATTTTTGGGGGGGTATGATATTTGTGCGTCTGTAACTTTCTCACTCATCATTATTTACGATTCATTCAGGATTATCCGTAATCATGGTAGTAGCATCCACATTGATGTAGAAGGGTTTAGAAACATTATATTCTTACTTACAATAAAAGTGACACAATACATGATTTGACCATTAATTTCCATTGGGCACTAAATAATCTGAAACACAACCAAAACAAAAACAGTAAATGCATCCAACAAATTTGTAGAGTCACAAGCTTGATGTAGTCATTGTGTGCTATGAATATGGGACCAAATACTTAACTTTTTACTACTTTAATACACATAAGTGAATTTGTCCCAATACTTTTGATGCCCTAAAATGGGGGGACTATGAACAAAAACGTCTGTCATTTCTAAACGGTTCACCCGATATGGATGACAATACCCTCAATTTAAAGCTGACCGTCTTCACTTTAACTTACATTTTAGTCATTTAGCAGACGCTCTTATCCAGAGCGACTTACAGTTAGTGAGTGTATACATTTTTCATACTGGCCCGCCGTGGAAAACGAACCCACAACCCTGGCGTTGCAAGCGCCATGCTCTACCAACTGAGCTACAGGGGACTTCATTGTCATTGTTTGATTTCAAATCCAAACTCTTGGAATATAGAGCCAAAAGAGGAAGAAATGCTTCACTGTCCCAATAATTAATTATGGAGGGCACTGTTGATGCAATTTCAATGTTGTTTGAGTTGCTTTTAGTATCACCAAATTAGCTTGAGAGGATTTTACTGCAACACTGCTCACTGCATCCAAGTTGCTTGACATTGGTGTTTCAAAGAGCTGTCAGTCAAGGCGAGCTCATGAATACAAGCTCCCCGCCCACTCAACCTATTTCAAACTTCCTGGTAGTTAGCCATGAGAGAACTTTTCAGAATGACTATTCAGGACCTTTAAAATAAATAAAAATATAAATACAGACCTTTAAGATAGAAGTATATAACTTCAGAATGTTCCTGAAAACTTCCCCCAATCCAATCGTACCTAGGCTAGTCAATGCTCTGGCATGCAGGCACGCACACACTCACACACACGGATTCCCGCAGGCACACACACACACACACACACACACACACACGGATGATCGCAGTTAGGCACGCACGCACACGCACACTCAAACACACACACACTTGGCAGGAGTTGAAACAGTACTTACAGCATCTTTTGGCGGCCTCCACACACAGTTCCTCAGCGGTGAAGCTGTCTTTGAGGAACTCCAGCTGGTGAGTATCTGGTAGGTAGAAATGGATCTCCAGACCTCTCATGGGCACAGTGACGGGGCCCTCGGCCCTCCTCGACTTCCTCATCTTCCCACACAGTTGCCTGCCCAGCTCCATCACCCCCAGACTTGGCATCCAGACTCTGGAAGGAGAGGGAGAGGGATGGTGAGTGGGAGTGGGAGTGGGTAAGTGTGTCAGGAGTGGGTAATGTATTGATCCAGAGGTGAGCTCACTGTAGCAGTAATGCAGAGTTCTGCATACCCTGATGACTCATTTTCCAACATAGGTTACCCGCAACACACACACACACACACACCCCTACTGAGGCGACGTCATTCACAACACACACACCTACTGAGATGATCTCACCAAAGCGAACACAGTGAACACACACCTATTGAGACATCATTCACATACCGTCTGAGATCAACTAAACAAACACACACACCAAGGCAACGCCATTAACATAACACACACACCCACTGAATTGATGTCATCAAGAACAACCACAGATTAGAATTACTCTTGCCATGTTATTTCTAAGAGCACAACACTCTCTGTGGTCCCGTGACGTGGAGATCCAAGGACAAGAGAGTTGACTGAGGATACACAGTCCCCTTCACCCAACTCTCCTACTAGAGGAAGAGAGGAGGAGGAAGGGATGAAGGGATGAGAGGAAGAGAGGGAGGAGAGGTAATTCTCCTCTGCATGCAAATCCTCCCATTAGTTCTCCCAGCAGCTTTTCTGCTTCCTCAAGAGCGGCGCAGGCGCCCCAGTGGCTAGGACACAGTTTGTTTCATTACATCCCTTATCAGCCTATCACCCGTGGCGGCGGAGCTCTGATCTACTGACTGCTGATGGGATCAGCGGGGTCACAATACACACACACACAAGCCTATCTTAATCACACAAACATACACACTAGGTCTTCACGGGTACACCCGAACCCGAATACCCGAGACACGACCCGGACCAAAATTCAAATTGATTATGCTCGGGTCCGTTAGGGTCCGTGTCCAACTTTTTGGACCCGAGAAGACCTCTAACACACACACACCATCAGGGGCAGAGTGTCCTCAGTCCTGCTGAAGTCTAAACAGCCTGTTAGAACCTTCCTCCACACACCATCAGGGGCAGAGTGTCCTCAGTCCTGCTGAAGTCTAAACAGCCTGTTAGAACCTTCCTCCACACACACCATCAGGGGCAGAGTGTCCTCAGTCCCTGCTGAAGTCTAAACAGCCTGTTAGAACCTTCCTCCACACACCATCAGGGGCAGAGTGTCCTCAGTCCTGCTGAAGTCTAAACAGCCTGTTAGAACCTTCCTCCACACACACCATCAGGGGCAGAGTGTCCTCAGTCTCTGCTGAAGTCTAAACAGCCTGTTAGAACCTTCCTCCACACACACCATCAGGGGCAGAGTGTCCTCAGTCCCTGCTGAAGTCTAAACAGCCTGTTAGAACCTTCCTCCACACACACCATCAGGGGCAGAGTGTCCTCAGTCCCTGCTGAAGTCTAAACAGCCTGTTAGAACCTTCCTCCACACACCATCAGGGGCAGAGTGTCCTCAGTCCTGCTGAAGTCTAAACAGCCTCTTAGAACCTTCCTCCACACACCATCAGGGGCAGAGTGTCCTCAGTCCTGCTGAAGTCTAAACAGCCTGTTAGAACCTTCCTCCACACACACCATCAGGGGCAGAGTGTCCTCAGTCTCTGCTGAAGTCTAAACAGCCTGTTAGAACCTTCCTCCACACACACCATCAGGGGCAGAGTGTCCTCAGTCCCTGCTGAAGTCTAAACAGCCTGTTAGAACCTTCCTCCACACACACCATCAGGGGCAGAGTGTCCTCAGTCCCTGCTGAAGTCTAAACAGCCTGTTAGAACCTTCCTCCACACACACCATCAGGGGCAGAGTGTCCTCAGTCCCTGCTGAAGTCTAAACAGCCTGCTAGAACCTTCCTCCACACACACCATCAGGGGCAGAGTGTCCTCAGTCCCTGCTGAAGTCTAAACAGCCTGTTAGAACCTTCCTCCACACACACACTATTCACTAAGCTACATTACTAAAAGATGGGTAACAGTGCAGCAGCAGTGGAGATGGATTGCTGTGATGAACAGATGCCTGCAGGTCATCTGGACACATTGAAGGATGGCTGAAGACGGCACAGTAGAACTGGGCATACGTGGTACTACCAAATGCTACGTTGGACAACACATTCCTGTATTTTATAGTCAACTAGGCCTACAGCCTTCTAATGCTTATCATTAGTTCATCCTCATCCAAACATTCTGGATCAGCAATAACTGAATTACTTGCCTTTATGTTACACTGCCAAAAAAGCCACCTCAGAGTTAGGCTACTATTACTGTACTATCCTACAACACATTTTGAAAGTTTGGTAGAGTCATATAAAACGCCCGTTCTCAAGAACATTGTGCCTGTCCGTTCTACAGTGACTCTGACTCAGTAACAGTGCTGTTTAAACTCCCCTTGGTTTCTCTATCTCGCTCTAGATTGTCAGTACTGCATGTCTTCTTTGCTTTCGTGCCACGGTTGTGTCAGGGTCGATTGTAAGTTAAACTTATGAATCCCTTCACGGGTAGTGTGATGCATAAGACTTTTTACTGGCTGTCATCAGCTGCTGTTAAAATGTATGCTCCTTTTGATTTCTTCCTTCCTTTTTGCCAGAATATAACAGGACATAATAAGGACTACATGAAATATGTCTCTCTGCCGATAGGCAGCGGGCATGTAATGGACATAAAGATGGTATTGCGATATTTATAGAAGGTATTTTATTTGGTTAGTTATCTCTTAAAAAGCACCCTCATAGACATGCAATAGACCTACGGGGCTTTGAATGTGTGAGTTAAGGGTGGCAATATTGAATGTTGTTATCATAGGACTGCCCATATTTCCCTCTGGCCTATGCCAATTGGCGGCCAAAGGTTTGCCTTAGGACGCAAAGGTGCGCCATGAGTCAGGGAGATGGTCTGGTGGTCTTAGTGACAACAGACCTCCTAGATAATGGGGGAGGTTTTAGTGGGTGGAGTATTAGGACAATTGGAGGTTTACACCATTGCAGCTACAGTATGCTTAACAGTGCAAATATTATGGTACAGCTACACTATATGTACAGTCGTGGTCAAAAGTTTTGAGAATGACACAAATATTAATTTTCACAAAGTCTGCTGCCTCAGTTTTTATGATGGCAATTTGCATATACTCCAGAATGTTATGAAGAGTGATCACATGAATTGCAAAGTCCCTCTTTGCCATGGAAATGAACTTAATCCCCAAAAAACATTTCCACTGCATTTCAGCCCTGCCACAAAAGGACCAGCTGACATCATGTCAGTGATTCTCTCGTTAACACAGGTGAGAGTGTTGATGAGGACAAGGCTGGAGATCACTCTGTCATGCTGATTGAGTTAGAATAACAGACTGGAAGCTTTAAAAGGAGGGTGGTGCTTGAAATCATTGTTCTTCCTCTGTTAACCATGGTTACCTGCAAGGAAACACATGCCGTCATCATTGCTTTGCACAAAAAGGTTCTTCACAGGCAAGGATATTGATGCTATTAAGATTGCACCTAAATCAACCATTTATCGGATCATCAAGAACTTCAAGGAGAGAGGTTCAATTGTTATGAAGAAGGCTTCAGGGCGCCCAAGAAATCCAGTAAGCGCCAGGACCGTCTCCTAAAGTTGATTCAGCTGCGGGATCGGGGCACCACCAGTGCAGAGCTTGCTCAGGAATGGCAGCAGGCAGGTGTGAGTGCATCTGCACGCACAGTGAGGCGAAGACTTTTGGAGGATGGCCTGGTGTCAAGAAGGGCAGCGAGGAAGCCACTTCTCTCTAGGAAAAACGTCAGGGACAGACTGATATTCTGCAAAAGGTACAGGGATTGGATTGCTGAGGACTGGGGTAAAGTCATTTTCTCTGATGAATCCCCTTTCCGATTGTTTGGGGCATCCGGAAAAAAGCTTGTCCGGAGAAGACAAGGTGAGCGCTACCATAAATCCTGTTTCATGCCAACAGTAAAGTATCCTGAGACCATTCATGTGTGGGGTTGCTTCTCATCCAAGGGAGTGGGCTCACTCACAATTTTGCCTAAGAACACAGCCATGAATAAAGAATGGTACCAACACATCCTCCGAGAACTACTTCTCCCAACCATCCAAGAACAGTTTGGTGACGAACAATGCCTTTTCCAGCATGATGGAGCACCTTGCCATAAGGCAAAAGTAATAACTAAGTGGCTCGGGGAACAAAAAATCAACATTTTGGGTCCATGGCCAGGAAACTCCCCAGACCTTAATCCCATTGAGAACTTGTGGTCAATCCTCAAGAGGCGGGTGGACAAACAAAACCCCACAAATTCTGACAAACTCCAAGCATTGATTATGAAAGAATGGGCTGCCATCAGTCAGGATGTGGCCGAGAAGTTAATTGACAGCATGCCAGGGCGGATTGCAGAGGTCTTGAAAAAGAAGGGTCAACACTGCAAATATTGACTCTTTGCATAAACTTAATGTAATTGTCAATAAAAGCCTTTGACACTTATCGAATGCTTGTAATTATACTTCAGTATATCATAGTAACATCTGACAAAAATATCTAAAAATACTGAAGCAGCAAACTTTGTGAAGACCAATACTTGTGTCATTCTCAAAACTTTTGACCACGACTGTACACTTAATCATCAAATTTTGTGAGTTTTTTTATAGGGCAGGGCAGCTCTAACCTATATCTCCAATCTCATCTAATTGATTGGACTCCAGGTTAGCTGACTCCTGACTCCAATTAGCTTTGGAGAAGTCATTAGCCTAGGGGTTCACATACTTTTTCCAACCTACACTGTGAATGTTTAAATTATGTATTCAATAAAGACATTAAAGAACACAATAATTTGTGTGTTATTAGTTTAAGCAGACTGTGTTCGTCTATTGTGTGGTCCTCTGTAGCTCAGCTGGTAGAGCACGGCGCTTGTAACGCTAAGGTAGTGGGTTCAATCCCCGGGACCACCCATACACAAAAATGTATGCACTCATGACTGTAAGTCGCTTTGGATAAAAGCGTCTGCTAAATGGCATATTACATTACATATTACATATTACATTGTTGTGACTTAGATGAAATTCA